ACTATTTAAATATTCATCATGTTTATATTTTTTTATATATATATGCGGGAAAGCGTTACCGAGTAACAGAACTGTAAATTTAAGAATGCCCTTCTTGCAATGTTTGACCGATGCAATTTCGTACGAAATTTGTGTGTTTGGCAGTTCACCAGAGGGTCCACAGAAAAGCCACGCACACAAGGCGGAGAAAACTAAACAACTCACACAAATCGATGGGCCAATCCCGACCACTCTTTAGCCTGTACGGTGTGCATCCCGCGCACATAACCGCCACCCAACCATCGCACCATACCGTCAAGTAAGCTCAATTACAGGCACATGCCACCAAACTTAACCCGGTAATTAGTCCATTAATTATACTGACAGACGGGAAGAAAGACAAAACTAAAATTTGCATCGGCAGCACAATGAGGAAAGCTGCATCCTCCCACGAGCTGCATCGACTCGTGGCAGGTGGGGGAAATGCGGTGTGGATATAATTGATATTCCTCTTATCGCACGCGCCGACAGCAAGACGCTTCATTCAATTGACATTGTGATGCCCGTGCAATTGTATCTGCCGCCCGTTGTCAGCGCACGGCTGGATGAAGGTCTCGTGAAGGTCAATGGGGTTCATCTTCTTGGTTCTTTCGGTAAAGTCACGTAGAATGGAAATAATAAACTAATAAAACATAATAAAAGAATTCTCACGACGTTTCGGCCACAACGCAAGCAGCCGTCCTCAGACTCTGTCTTCTCGACAGACCTGCTCTCCACCTGAGGACGGCTGCTTGCGTTGTGGCCGAAACGTCGTGAGAATTATTTTATTATGTTTTATTTTTATTATTTTATTATTTCCATTCTACGTGACTTTACTGAAAGAACCAAGAAGATGAATCCCTGCAGTCACGAAAGCTTTAAATCGTCACTTGGGTTGTTTAAACCTACTTTGCCCGCACTGGTCAAGTACGCGCTGGTGAAGGAGGGGAGGGGAGGGGGGCATTGAAGACCGATTGTGATGTCACTTGCCACTGATGTTCACTAACAGTGACTTATTAAACTATACTATTGTTTTATTTCACCAGGTAAGGCTCACTGAGCTATATAGCCCTTTTTCAGAAGCGGCCTGGCCCCAAATTATAGCTCAAGCAAGTGGCTTATCACGTGGACATATATAGCAGCAGCCAAATGCTCTACACACGTCATGGGAACTCCTTTGCCAGTACACAAACATGAGAATAGTCTCAAAACGGTGTTACAGCTGTACGCCTTTTGGCGTCGTCTGGTCTAACACCGTTTTGAGACTAGGCTCAAAAGAAATCAAGCTCTGGTGTGGACCAATCAGTTTCAAAGACAATGCATATATTATCGGAGTATGTTTTTTGTTTGCATTCTGACCACCAGTTTTGTGGTTAATGCAGACATAATTCCTTGTAAATGGTTTCAGTAATGGTGTTTTAACATCTTAACACCTGATAATTGTTTTTTTACCCTTTTATCTGGCAACAAAACTGACCACAATACCTGCTGTCGGAATGCAAACAAAAAACACAACTCCGATAATGTATGCACTGTCCTTGAAATTGATTGATCCACACCCGAGACAGCTTTTCTTAGAGCCTAGTCTCACATGGTGTTGGACCAGATGACGCCAAAAGGCGCACAACTCAAAGACAATGCACCATCAGAGTATGAGAGCTCGGGGTAAGCATTTACACCATTGGAACCTCCTTTTCCAGGAGCAAAATATGATCATTGTTTTTTTACCCTTTTATCTGGTAACAAAACTGACACCATTTTTATAAGGAGTCATGTTTGCATTAACCAAATACCTGCTGTCGGAATGCAAACGACACACAACTCCAAATTATAGAGGCATCAGGGTCGGGATCGAACCCATGACCTCCTGCATACGAGGCGAGGGAGTTAACATCCCGCCATCACAGGCCCCCTATTGTTACTTGGCTTGTCTGCCCAGGAACGCCTCACTGAGTCTCGTCACTCTGTTTCAGGAGGGTTCTACCGTGTTTCCACAGTTAGGTGGCGATGATCGTTGGGTATATTTCAATTTAATAATTTGCGTGTATGTTGAAACATTTGGCTATTTCGGACCACGTAAAACCACCGCTCCACCCCAATACGCCTTATGGACAGCTAAATCGGAGAGCATGCATATTGTGAAGAAAATGCAAATTAGTTGCACGCTTAGAACACTGAGAATTGCTGTTAAACGTTGCAATGCTCACTGCTGCACCCTGTAGGAACTCCACGCCTTTCTTCGTATGCTCATGCCGTGACCTGAAACCCACCCTCCTGAACTTGCAATATAAGTACCTTAAGTGGTTTCATGTTCCCTTAGCTCGGGGGGGTAAAGTGATTAAGTAAGGGCATAAACCTGAATGCCCTTGTAGAAACAAGCCCACGCACTTCCATAAACACGTGGCTGGCTTTGGAACCCAACAAGGGACATTGCTGTTATTCTGCTGATGGATATTGCCTTGGCATGTTGTTGCAGATATTAGCTGTGAAGTTTTGTTGAGACTCGTTGGTTAAGTGTTGTTCAAGTTGAGTGTTGGGGTTGAGTGGTGGAGTGTTGGGGTTGAGTGGTGGAGTGTTGGGGTTGAGTGGTGGAGTGTTGAGTGGTGGAGTGTTGGGGTTGAGTGGTGGAGTGTTGGGGTTGAGTGGTGGAGCGTTTGGGTTGAGTGGTGGAGTGTTGGGGTTGAGTGGTGGAGTGTTGGGGTTGGGTGGTGGAGTGTTGGGGTTGGGTGGTGGAGTGTTGAGTGGTGGAGTGTTGGGGTTGAGTGGTGAAGTGTTGGGGTTGAGTGGTGGAGTATTGTGGTGGAGTGTTGGGGTTGAGTGGTGAAGTGTTGTGGTTGAGTGGTGGAGTGTTGTGGTTGAGTGGTGGAGTGTTGAGTGGTGGAGTGTTGGGGTTGAGTGGTGAAGTGTTGGGGTTGAGTGGTGGAGTATTGTGGTGGAGTGGTGGAGTGTTGGGGTTGGGTGGTGGAGTGTTGGGGTTGAGTGGTGGAGTGTTGGGGTTGGGTGGTGGAGTGTTGGGGTTGAGTGGTGGAGTGTTGAGTGGTGGAGTGTTGGGGTTGAGTGGTGAAGTGTTGGGGTTGAGTGGTGGAGTATTGTGGTGGAGTGTTGGGGTTGAGTGGTGGAGTGTTGGGGTTGGGTGGTGGAGTGTTGGGGTTGAGTGGTGGAGTGTTGGGGTTGGGTGGTGGAGTGTTGGGGTTGAGTGGTGGAGTATTGTGGTGGAGTGTTGGGGTTGAGTGGTGGAGTGTTGGGGTTGAGTGGTGGAGTGTTGTGGTTGAGTGGTGGAGTGTTGAGTGGTGGAGTGTTGGGGTTGAGTGGTGGAGCGTTTGGGTTGAGTGGTGGAGTGTTGGGGTTGAGTGGTGGAGTGTTGGGGTTGAGTGGTGGAGTGTTGGGGTTGAGTGGTGGAGTGTTGGGGTTGGGTGGTGGAGTGTTGCGGTTGAGTGGTGGAGTGTTGTGGTTGAGTGGTGGAGTGTTGGGGTTGAGTGGTGGAGTATTGTGGTGGAGTGCTGGAGTGTTGGGGTTGAGTGGTGGAGTGTTGTGGTTGAGTGGTGGAGTGTTGGGGTTGGGTGGTGGAGTATTGGGGTTGAGTGGTGGAGTGTTGGGGTTGAGTGGTGGAGTGTTGTGGTTGAGTGGTGGAGTGTTGGGGTTGGGTGGTGGAGTGTTGGGGTCGGGTGGTGGAGTGTTGGGGTTGAGTGGTGGAGTGTTGTGGTTGAGTGGTGGAGTGTTGAGTGGTGGAGTGTTGGGGTTGAGTGGTGAAGTGTTGGGGTTGAGTGGTGGAGTATTGTGGTGGAGTGGTGGAGTGTTGGGGTTGGGTGGTGGAGTGTTGGGGTTGAGTGGTGGAGTGTTGGGGTTGGGTGGTGGAGTGTTGGGGTTGAGTGGTGGAGTGTTGAGTGGTGGAGTGTTGGGGTTGAGTGGTGAAGTGTTGGGGTTGAGTGGTGGAGTATTGTGGTGGAGTGTTGGGGTTGAGTGGTGGAGTGTTGGGGTTGGGTGGTGGAGTGTTGGGGTTGAGTGGTGGAGTGTTGGGGTTGGGTGGTGGAGTGTTGGGGTTGAGTGGTGGAGTATTGTGGTGGAGTGTTGGGGTTGAGTGGTGGAGTGTTGGGGTTGAGTGGTGGAGTGTTGTGGTTGAGTGGTGGAGTGTTGAGTGGTGGAGTGTTGGGGTTGAGTGGTGGAGCGTTTGGGTTGAGTGGTGGAGTGTTGGGGTTGAGTGGTGGAGTGTTGGGGTTGAGTGGTGGAGTGTTGGGGTTGAGTGGTGGAGTGTTGGGGTTGGGTGGTGGAGTGTTGCGGTTGAGTGGTGGAGTGTTGTGGTTGAGTGGTGGAGTGTTGGGGTTGAGTGGTGGAGTATTGTGGTGGAGTGCTGGAGTGTTGGGGTTGAGTGGTGGAGTGTTGTGGTTGAGTGGTGGAGTGTTGGGGTTGGGTGGTGGAGTATTGGGGTTGAGTGGTGGAGTGTTGGGGTTGAGTGGTGGAGTGTTGTGGTTGAGTGGTGGAGTGTTGGGGTTGGGTGGTGGAGTGTTGGGGTCGGGTGGTGGAGTGTTGGGGTTGGGTGGTGGAGTGTTGGGGTTGGGTGGTGGAGTGTTGGGGTTGAGTGGTGGAGTGTTGGGGTTGAGTGGTGGAGTCTTGGGGTCGGGTGGTGGAGTGTTGGGGTTGGGTGGTGGAGTGTTGGGGTTGAGTGGTGGAGTGTTGGGGTTGAGTGGTGGAGTGTTGGGGTTGAGTGGTGGAGTGTTGGGGTTGAGTGATGGAGTGTTGAGGTCGGGTGGTGGAGTGTTGGGGTTCAGTGGTGGAGTGTTGGGGTCGGGTGGTGGAGTGTTGGGGTTGAGTGATGGAGTGTTGAGGACGGGTGGTGGAATGTTGGGGTTGAGTAGTGGAGTGTTGGGGTTGAGTGGTGGAGTGTTTGGGTTCAGTGGTGGAGTGTTGGGTGGTGGAGTATCGGGGTTGTTTAGTGGAGTGTTGGGTGGTGGAGTGTTAGGGTTGAGTGGTGGAGTGTTGGGGTTGAGTAGTGGAGTGTTGGGGTTCGGTCGTTCAAGGTTGATAAATGCCGATCGTTGAGTGTGCGTTTCATTCCTGGTGGTGGAGTTCATTGAGGTCAGGAGACGAAATGCTGAAAAAGCCACGTGGAGGGTCAGGAATTGAGGCGCTCACAGAGTGAACTGTTTGGGGTCCACCAGACAGCACTGTTGCACCTCATCAACCGTGGCTGGGCCATCTGCGAAAGAAAAATCATCCACCGTTTAATGAATCTCATACACAGCGCATGGGTCTCCCGGCCTTGCAACAGTCAGTGGATCTCAACAGGCTGTCACGCGGTCAAAGAAATCCAGAGTATGTCCTCGTTATCGAGCGTGTGCGTGTGCGTGGCGATGCTCATCTCCGTTATCGGGCCTGGGTGGAAATTCCACATTCCCGTGGAATATGTTTCAGTTTCCCTTTTGGCCCACGACAAAGTGTCCCTCAATTGATAATTGTTTTTTTTACCCTTTTATCTGGAAACAAAACTGACACCTTTTTTTACATGGAGTCATGTTTGCATTGACCACAATACCTGCGGTCGGAATGCAAACAAAAAACACAACTCTGATAATGTATGCACTGTCCTTGAAAATGATTGGTCCACACCCGAGACAGCTTTTCTTAGAGCCTAGTCTCACATGGTGTTGGACCAGATGACGCCAAAAGGAGGTTCCAATGGTGTCTCTCAATTATTGCTCGACTGAAATAATTCCTCGAATATGTATTTCACTTTGCACCGTACATAACCACAGTTCTACACATGTGCACACGTTAGATCTGGGAGGAAGTGCTCAAAGGGCGCTGCTGTGTAAGATGAAAGGGTTAATACTGGTTTCAAAGACTCAAATGCAGAGCTGACAATTCAAAAATTCAATTTTCTTATTTTACAATTTTTACGTGAACTATGCTTTCTAATCTTTTCAAAGTGATCGGAATTTGCGGCTTAATTCAATCCGTCTTCATTGCTCGACTGAAATAATGATTGAATCATTCCTCGAATATGTATTTCACTTTGCACCGTACATAACCACAGTTCTACACATGTGCACATGTTAGATCTGGGAGGAAGTGCTCAAAGGGCGCTGCTGTGTAAGATGAAAGGGTTAATACTGGTTTCAAAAACTCAAATGCAGAGCTGACTATTCAAAAATTCAATTTTCTTATTTCAAGTTTCCTACGTGATCTATGCTTTCTAATCTTTTCAAAGTGATCGGAATTTGCGGCTTAATTCAATCCGTCTTCATTCTGGCTACATTACTTTTTGTTATTCATGGCTCACACATATACACTGCATATATAAATGCAGAATCTTGATAGCTCTGGCGATAGAGAAGCAGGGGCTCCCAACCATGATTTCATATCACTGCTAGGCTCATCGTTATGATCATCGTTGCTTCTGTAATTGTTGAAGCATCAGCATCACCATCCAACTACAGCCCACTCAGTCTCACCATCATCATCACTGCCAGCACAACCACCACCCGATCCACTCAGTTCAGCCCCATCACGATCATCATCACGATCGTCATCATCCTTCATGAGTAAGATAAGTAACATCGCTTTGTGTGAATTAAAGCCGTTGTGTTAGGGAGAATATTGGTCTGACCATAGGAACATGGAATTTCCACCACTGGCTCAACAGTGCCCATTGCTCCAGTAGGATAATCATGCTTGTTTTTTTTCAACATACACACATGAGTTCAGATAATTGGTTGAGATTCTAGATTTGAAGCTTTTGTGACTGCAAGGATTCATATTCTTAGGTTTTTTTCGGTAAAGTCACGTGGGTAAAAAATTTAAATTAATACAAGTCAAATAAAAATAAAATAAAAATCACGACGTTTTTGGTTGGGAGTCAATGCAACCCACCATCCCTTTGAGGTGCATTAAACAGTGTACCCCTTTGCACTAAGCCAGCAGTGGAGAGACTGGTCCCCTGCCACGGGAAGGGAAAATGTCCACTCCTGGGTCAGAGGTACCAGCGGAGATTAGCAACCACCGCATGGTCATTTGAGAATGAGGGCACTTTTACTTTTGGACATTCATTTCACAAATCCGCAGTCGTTTGCAAAAAATGTTTTTTTGCAACGGAAAAAAAAAACCTGCGCTTCCCCTACGATCGCAGCGTTGGTTTTAAATGACACCCAAACCTCAGCCAGCTTTTAATTTCTGTGACCAAGAAAGTCCGAGTGGCGTCAAAAACACGAGACGTTATTTGCTTTTCCCCAATGCAATGCCCCTCTCGGATGCATGCACAGAGGCGGTACAGATGACGGGCTTAGACCGAGAGAATGGTGGATTAGTCCCGCCCGTATCGCTTACCCGTGCGAGAGATCACGGGGCTTAGCGGGCGCTATCGGTTCCCAGTCACGTACAGGCGGGGGCGGGGGGGGAGGTCATTAGCTGTGTCGGCAAGACTATGTTGCGCTCGCGACACAGCGCGCGATGTAAACCTGCCACAGCGGTGAAAACTTGCACGGCGATTGAAAAGCAACCTTTTTGCCACACAGTGTGCCACGCATGCAAATATCATCCGTGGCTCAGTTGAGGTCTGCAACAATCTGCGAGTATCCAGACAGTTCTTCGTTTTTGCTCGAGATGTTTATGGCAGTGGGTTTTTGTTTCTATGTTTGACGTACGCGTGAATCGGAGGAACGTGCACGCGAGGGGGTGACGTCCCAATGAGCGTCGAGAAAAATCTAAGTAAAGCGGACCGCGTTGGCGGGCCACGTCGCTGGAAAGGAACAATGGCCACTCTATCTAGCAGTGGCTAGATCATGGCTGATGATTGACGACTTATGATGTCAATCATCAGCCACGTAGAGCAAAGTTGGACTCCTACTTGCTGTACTGCACTCCGAAATGACACATTGTTGCCAACCTGGTGGGTATGCCAAACGGCTGCTATGTATACACGACAGAGGTCGCAACCGGGTACCCTTTATACCCGTACCCTACCCTGATACCCGGCTACCCGTACCCGGCCAGGTATGGGTACGAGTACCCGTTTGCGACCCTGGTGCGGCCTGGGTATGAGGTACGGGTAAGGAATCAAAACCCGTTTGCGACCTCTGATACATGATCCACCAACAAGACCAATAAAACAAGTCTTGGTGCCCCCCATATTCTGGCGCCACGGTGGCTAGGAGATGTTATCTCCCTCGCCCGGTACGCAGGAGGTCGTGGATTCAATCCCGACCCCGACGCCTGCTGCTGTATATTTGTATTTTCCTTTTTCTCTCTCTCGCCGTGGCCGCGTGGATTTGTCTCCCTGGGTGCTCCGGTTTTCCCTTCCGCAGTTCGACTCAACATGCGGTCAGGGTATTTGGCTGCTGTAAATTTCGCCACGATAAGCCGCTTTGTTGAGCTATTCATCTGTGGCCAGGTCGCTTCTGAAAGAGAGCTGTGTAGCTCGTGGGCCTTACCTGGTAAAATATTAAAAAAACTAGTAAAAGGTAATATATGCACACGAGCATGGCGCAGTGCGAGACTCTGGCGATTATCTGCAACATCGATGTTTTTTGTCCTTCGTGTTGCTTCTGTGCTCACACGCCACGGATGTCGCTTGTAAAATAGCTGGGCCACTGACTGGAACAAAATTCGAATGAGCTCAAACTAATCTCGGACCAGTGGTGGCAACCGAGGATTCGTGTGGTAGATGCGAGTCTCTCCGTGCGACAGCAAACACATATTCAGTCTCCACGTGGTGGTGCTTAAATTAGTGATTCGAGTCGGGTGACGAGGAAACGTCAACCCACTACCAGGATTTGGATTTGCAACCTCTGCCATGTACCAGCTGGCTGCATTATACACTCGCATATAGGTGGCTCCATAGGCCAGGATCATGGAAGCTTCAGCAGAAATCAATGACTGGTAAGACAGAATTAGATAGGTGTTAAGTTTGTGCCGATACGGAGGGAGTGAATCATATATACTACAAACGGCATAGAAAATGACATTGTAGACATTACGAACAGCACAGAGGAAAGGGAGACCTGCCAACGCACGCACATTTATTGGGCGGGGAGGGTGGCTGAGAGGGGGAGTGGGTGGAAATGTGAGGGAGAGGAGGAGTGAGGTGACTTTGAGAGTCAAGTCAGAGGAAGGGCATGAAGGAATGTGAAGTCGATGAGAGAGAGAGAGAGAGAATTAAAATAAGCAAATAAAGTGTGCACTTGGTCGCACAAATCCCCGTGAGCACAACTCCACGGGAGAATAAGTGCCTGGCTAAGCGGAATGACGCGGCGGCGATGAACGTCGAGGCAAAATGACGTCGCGAACGTGAGTCACTGGCACGGGTTCGCATCTTGCACGACTTGAAGTAACGAGTTGCGCACAGGACATCGGGGTCGATGACACTGGTCAACAGAAAAAAAGCATTTTTTTCTGGCCTGGACTTTTGCAGCTGTTTTAGACTCATTTCAGGGTGCTGATTCCAAATCTGATCTCAGATTTGGTCTATCACATCTCATTTTATGCTATCGGCATACCCCATTTTCATTGATTTTACCCGAAATTAACTCTGTCACTTATGATTGAAAGTTGTTGCGAGTCAGTGACTGCTTTAAGTGTTAAAATATGGTGCTGTATTTTTAGGATAGTGTGTTTATCATATCATTTTATGTAGATATCCACATTTATTTAATATTTTTCTTCTGCAGTTTTTATTGAAAATGAAATATTTGATATCTCAAAAACCTGATGTGATGCCAGATTTTGAATCAGCACCCCAAAATTACCTTGAAAACCCGTTGGAATGCCTTATGACAGAAAAAGTGTGTTGACCAGTGTTATTTTCCCAGACGGCGCTGAATGAATGCACGGGCACCACGGGACCGGCTCCCTCGGGCGAACGTCCCGCGGCATGATTCACCAACTCGGCGTCTGTTGTTGTTGTTGTTATTACTACCATTACCATTATTGTCGTCTGCAGACGAGGAGGAATCGCTTTTCTATGGAAAACGCAAGGCATGGGGGAGGGAGTGGCGGGGTAATATATCGATCAGTGGTTGGGCGGTGGGTGGGCTGTCTTTACTGCATAGATGCTGCGCTCTTTCTGCGTTTCGTAACGAGGTGCGCCGTATGTATGTGTATGCTGAACTTCTTTCGCACCGTACGTAGCCAACCGTGCTTAGTCGGAGGTGAACCACAATAGTTTGCCGATCTCGTCAAGGGGAGTGAACCATCATCACGCGAACTCCGCTCATTCTCGTAGCAGCAGCAGCGGCGGCTTTTGGCTGCTCGGCCATCGAACAAAGACGGTGGTCACCGCGTCGCGCGGCGCTTTCAGATGCGCTTCCGCGGCCGTCTGGAACGCTCTTCCCTTCGATATTAGGAAGCCACTGGAGCTATGCACTTTAAAATCATCTCGATTGACAAACTCATTTCTTTAGAACTGATTTGTGTGTTTAGTTTGTTGTCCTCCCGCAACTCCGATTAGCACGCTTGGTTATGTACGGTGCAAAAAAAACACAAGCAACAAACTAATCGCAAAAAGTAGTTCTCAATAAATGAGTTTTCAATCTATATTATTTAAAAGTTCTTCTGCCTAACGGTTTGCTTTAGGTGTAGATGCGTGTTCTCTACAAAGGTTATGACGTACACAGATGTACGCTCGATAGGGCCTTGTTCTCTGTATAGTGACATGCTCCGTCTAGATATTTTCTGCATTGAGATGTCATACGTGCGGAAAATTCTGTATGTGGGGAGTGGTAGTGTAGCGGTTAGGGCGCTGCGCTACGAACCCGGTGGCCCGAGTTCGATTCCCGCTCAAGGCCAACACTGGTGACGATTATCTGAACCGGTCCTGGGCCTCCCCTAGGTCGACTCAGCATAAAATGAGCACCTGGTGCGGTGTGTAAACATCGCCACTCGGGAGACAAAGGCGGCCGAGCGTGGTGCTGGCCACCCACCCCATCGTGTGCTGTGCCGGACTTCATAGGCGCAACTCGCTAACAGCACTTGCCCTAAAAGTCTCTTGAAGCTATACGGGGGGATATTTGTCGTTGTATTCTGGATATTGGTGTCCCATATTCTTTTTTTATCCTTACGCTTGTTTTATCCAAGAAAGCGTCACTGAGTCTCAAGACTCGTTATCAGGAGGGTCCTGCCAGGTTTAACTTTTTTTTATTTTCGCAGTGGGAGTTGGGAGGGGCAATGTTGTTGCTCTAACACAATCCCAGTTGAGTAATTTGCGAGTAATTTCTCAGCCAATACCAGTTACATTATACGAATTTTTTGGGTTTTGCAAGAGGAGGAGAGCAGATAACCCGGAGGAATTCCATGAAGAACAGGGGGAGAACATACGGAAAGGACGCCCCCGAGTTGTGAATCAAACCCAGGTCCTTCTTGTTGTGAGGCTGCGGTGTTACCAGGGGTGTCCACTCCGTAGAGGTGTACTCTGCATAACGGAGTTGTGCCCTAGGCTACGTTGGCAAGTGGCACTTGCGAATAATAATTTCCGTTCTTGTAATGCGACAATAAATCTAAAGCATTTCACAATTTTATTCATTTCTACGTGGGCAGCGGGGGAGTAAAATAAAAATATTGTGAAATTATTTTCGCATTTCTACGCCTTGTCGCGCCCCTCAAGGGATGTGCGTCGTGTACCATGCATCACGCGACGCTGAGATGTACTGCCGTGCATTGCTGAAGCCGCGCTGCCACAAAGGGCGGTGACGTGGCGAGCCGCACGCCGCCACGCACCACCGCACCCAGCCACACACTAACAGATAACGTCTCGCCCCGCTGCTGGCGAGACGTTATCTCCCGCGCCTGGTGTGCAGGAGGCCGTGGGTTCGATCCCGACCCCTTGACGCCTGCTGTATATTCGGAGCGTGCAAGTTCTCTCTCCCCGGGGTCGAGTGGATTTTTCTCCGGGTCCTCCGGTTCTTCCCACCACATTTAGAATCGACGTGCGTTAGGGATTATTTTTGCTGATGTAAATTTCCACGTGATAAGCCACTTCTTTGCGCCATCATTTGTGGCTTCTGAAAATAAACTGATAGCTCAGTGTTGCCTTTCGCTGGTAAGTTTTAAAAAAAAATCTATGCCAACCCATACCCCACAAAACCCACACACTACCAAAATCACTGACGACCTCGCCATTCATTCTGTGCGGTAACTCTCCATGGGCAGATTACCCGGGTTGCAGATTAACCCCGCTTGTAAAATAAACGATTGCATGCCTGCTCTTTCTCTAGTTAGCTGCTCCTCACTCGTCGGGGTTCAGCGTCTTGGGGAGCCCCGTGTGACCGCAGACACCCAGACACCTCGGGCAAGTAAACCGATTACCTTAAGCTGCGGTAAACACAGACAGCGCGGAGCCACTCCGCGCAGGTAAACAATGAGCACGTGCTCATGGACGAATCTACGCGTGCTATGCTTTGTCTGTGTGGTTTGATTTTTCCATGCCACCCCTCCACCCCATTCCCTCGGATATTTGAGAGTCGACTGCACCACACGTGAGCTAGACGTTCTATGCAGTGTCATAACGCTGACGAACAAAGCAAAGCCACACCACAGAACCATTAATACCGGCCACACTCTACCCAACTACACCACACCCTACCAAACCAAGCCACACTCTACCAAACCATAACCTATGGAATCACAGCATCTCCTGCCCCGGTGGATGGAAGCACACTGCACAAACCATGCCACACCGCACAAACCGCGCCACACTGCACAAACCACACCACACAACACAAATCATGCCGCGCCACGCAAACCACGCCGCACAACACAAACCACGCCACGCAAACCACGCCGCACCGCGCCACGCAAACCGTGCCACACCGTGCAGGCCACACCACACAAACCATGCCACACCGTGTCACACCGCACAAACCACGCCACACCGCACAAACCGCGCCACACAACACAAACCACACAACACAAACCACACAACACAAACCACACCACACCACACCACGCAAACCGCACCACACCGAGCCGTGACGCCCCCCCGCGCGCTTGTGTGTGCGTGCGTGCCCCCCGTCGCCGCACGTACGCAGGGGGAAGTAGTCGTTGCGCGCGATCTCGGCGCGGGCCGCCAGCGCCGCGTGCTTCACGGCGAGCAGCGCGCTGCACGACATGCACTGCGGCGGCTCCCCCGACGCCTTGGAGCGCAGCACCCCCGCCGGGTTGGGGGCGTCCTTCAGCAGGTGCACGCGGAAGTCCACCGGGATGTCCTGCACACCACGACAAGTTCCGGTCACGCCAAAAACAAGTTTTTAGCCACGCCAAGACAAGTGACGTCACGCCACGCCAGGACAAGTTTCTGGCCACGCCAAGACAAGTGACGCCACGCCATGACCAGGACAAGATCAGGCCACGTCGTATCCAGGAAAAATTCAGGCCTCGCCAAAACAAGCCACGTTCGATTAGCACGGTTGGCTACGTACGGTGCAAGATGAGTTCGACGTGACGTACTATCGTACGTCACGCCAGGTCAGCGGATGTTTGACCACGCCCCTCCAGGGAAAGTCACGCCACACCAGGGCAATGCACGCTGCAACAGGCCAGGATAAAGTCAGGCCATCAGGGGCGTGGCTTGTCAGATGGCGGCACAGAAAGTAGGTTTCCTCAGGAATCTCTGAAGATTGTTGAGCGTCAGAAACGTGCATGCATTTCCTGTCTGTTGTGGCGCGTGCACAAAGTCACGATTAAAAGGAGTTTGCCAAATATCTCAGTGCAGGACCCCTCCTGAAAACGCCTTGAGAAATTCTTCGACATGACAAATGTGTTTGTAATAATGCATTCATTTTATATTCAAAGCGTATGATGTGTCAAGATAACCAAGTCCATGTTCAAAGCCTTTCCCGTTCAGCAAGAAAGAAGTGTTAATTGAAACCTTTACACCGAATGAAAGAATTGTGTTTTATTATTTAATAGTTTTCTCTGGCTGTGTGGTTCTATGTCATTCGATTTGCAACTGGACAGTTTGAAATTCAAATCCCAATCTGAGGCCGACTCGGCCCCATCCATCATCCATCTGAAGGTTAATAAAATGACGACTACTTTGTGAAAAGTCAACGGTGGCTGACGGACGCAGAGATCAATCCGAACCACGGGGATGAACACCAACACACGCTCGTGTGAGCAGGAAGATGAATGCGGGCTTTGGATATTTATTTATTTCGTCATGATTATTATTGACTTCCGCCCGTGCTGTGTGCTGTGCATGAATGGGGCCCCTCCTCTTATCCTCGGCAAATAGCTGGGGGAGTGATAGTCGCCCCGGAGTGGCGGCGGCGTGCTCGCGCATCTGTGTGCGCGCGCTCGCACAATAGCGGCGGTGTGCGAACCCTCGCCATCCGTTCGCATTCCCCTCGTCAATCCCAGAGAAACTGGCACAGTGGGCTGACCTAACGGGGTGCAGAGCCCGTGACCTTGACATTTTTCCGCGTTTTTCTTTCATTCACATTTTTGTGACGAGTGACGAGTGGTGTATGTGCGTGCTGCGTGCACACACGTGTTTGTACACGTTTGTGTGCGTGTGTGTGTGTGCGGGAGCTGCAGTGTAGCGGTTAGTGCGAATCTCTACCAAATCGGCAAACCGGGTTCGATTCCTGCCCACGGCCACCAAACACCAGTGACGGATATCGGAACTGATCCTGAACCCATGTGACCGTCCCAAGTGACTGCCCCACGTGACCCCCCCAACGTGACCGCCCCATATAAACGTGCATGTCTTGTGGCTCCCGACCGTATGAAGAATTCTGCTAAGCGGACTCATAGGATGAGGAATTTCGTCACAAGCAGAGCGCTGGCGGACGGTGCGCGGCCGGAGCGAGCGGGCACCACCTTGCTGCTGGGAGGTTTGTACTCCCACGTGCCGTTGGTGAGCAGCTGCCCGCTGGTGGGGTGGTAGACCAGGCGCTCCGTGAGCCAGTAGCCCAGGCCCATGGTGAAGGCGCCCTCCACCTGCCCGACGTCAATCGCCGGGTTCATGCTGCCGCAGAAAACGACGCACCGCAACGTCACTGAACGAATACATCTTCTTGGTTCTTTCGGTAAAGTCACGTAGAAGGGAAATAATAAAATAATAAAAAGAAAACATTATAAAATACTATTCTCACGACGTTTCGGCCACAACGCAAGGACGGCTGCTTGCGTTGTGGCCGAACTGTGCCCCCAACTTGCTATGTTTTAGCCGCCCAGTGCTCCGCTCGCTGTTATGAGCATGTTACTCCTAGGCCCTCCGCTGTTGTTGGAGGATGACGGCCTGTAACTGTCCAGTAGTAGCGTCCTTCATGCACGCACACACAAGGATCCCCCAGTATAGCCTTCACATACTTTTGGGGCAAGTGCTGTTAGCGAGCAGCTGTGAAGACCGGCACGGCACACAAGGGAGTTCGCAAGGGGGTGTTCTAACCACTACAAAAAAAGATCCCCCGTATAGCCTTTCCAGACTGTTGGGGCAAGTGCTGTTGGCGAGCACCTATAAAGGCCGGAACGGCACACGAGGAGGTGGGTGGCCAACACCCCGCCCGGCCGCCTTTGTCTCCCAGGTAGCGATGTTTACACACCGTACCAAGTACTCATTTGAGACTGAGTCGACCTAGGCGAGGCCCAGAACTGGTTCAGATAATCCTCACTGGTGTTGGCCGTGAGCGGGAATCGAATTCGGCACGCCGGGTTTGTAGCGCTAACCGCTGCACCACCACTCGCCACAGACACAGACGCACAGACACACACACACACAGACGCACGCGCGCACGTGTGCTCTCGCACGGACCTCTGGCCGCAGTCGAAGAGGATGTCGACACGCCGGAGCACATGCTCGCCCGTGAGCACGTCCAGTTCGGCCTCCGTGGCCGTCACGCCGTACGAGTTGTAGCGCGGCTCCGTTGACGTCGCGTCCGGCCACACCCTGCCACGGCGGCCGTGAGACGATCGAAAAGGTGTCGCAGGCGAGGGGGCGGAGGAGTTGGAGGAGAGAAGAGAGATATAGACGTCTGTGTGAGCACGTACTTCGAACTTCTTTCGCGCCGTACGTAGCCAACTGTGATAATTGGAGGCGCGGGAGAAGGACACAAAACTAACACACAATAAGTATAACCCGTAAAAACAAAGTTTTTCACTATAAATCCTTTATATGCGTGGCGGCTAGAGTCCTCTCGTCCTCTGGCTTGAGATGGCTGCCACCTATGGGTCAGATGATTGTCTGCCAGTATTAAGCAATTGGTAATTAAATATTTAATTTGTTTTCCCTAACCAGTGTAAAATTTTGGAAAAAAAATTTCACGAACATTAATTGTCTCGCACAACGAGTCTGTGTGCAAAATGTCAGCTCGATTGGATCACGGGAAGTGGGTTAAAAAACGACCAAAAGATTTGCACGGTCGCAAGCAAGCAAGCACGCAAGCAAGCAAGCGAACTTAATACAAAGGATTTAAAAAGCAGTTCGAACAGAAATGAACTTTCAATCTAGATGTAAAACGCATAGCTCAGGTGGCTTCATAATATCGGAAGAGCGTTCCAGACGGCCGCAGAAGCGCATCTGAAAGGGCGCGATGCGGTAACAACCGTCTTAGTTTGACGGACAGTCACCAGGCACGCTGGAGATTAGCGATTCATTTGCTTATTTACGTTAATAGTGATTTTCGTCTTCAGCTCGTATTTGGTTCACACTTATTATTATTATATCACACGAATCTCGGCCCCCCTTGAGGCCCTAATAACCAGTTTTTGTCTAAGTTCACTGCAGCAGCACATCCATAATCTATCATCCTCAAATGAAGTAGTTGAGAAGATTGGAAGTTAGCTGGATGGGTGGGTATGTAGGCCATTTGGTGGTTGGGTGGATATTATAGAAATTGGAAGGGTTAGTAGGTAGGTATGGGCATAGGTAGGTAGATTAGTGGGTAGGTAGATTAATAAGCGAGTATATAGGTGGGTTGGTGGACAAGCTAAGGACATTGGTAGGTGGGTGTGTGGGTAGATAGGCAGTTGGGGGGGGGTAAGCGACCCACCACAGCAATGCGTAATTTAAGTAACATAATAAAGCACACACGCATGCACACGGTTAATAGTGTAATGGTCAGCACACTGGACTTGCAATCCAGAGGTCGCTGGTTCGAACCCCCGGCGTAGGGGGTTCGAGAATTATTTTATTATGTTTTATTTTTGTTATTTTATTATTTCCCTTCTACGTGACTTTACCGAAAGAACCAAGAAGATGAATCCCTGCAGTCACGAAAGCTTTACATCGAAACCTCCCGTATTCTTCCCAGAAACGGGAAAAGCCTATTCGCTTTCTTTTCATCGCTGTGGTAAGTCGTCAGTGGTCAACCCTAGCCTGGCCCCTTCCACAGCAATGTGGAATTACCACCACCGGCTCGCATAGCCTCTAAAGCGGGGCGAGCACCAACACACGCTTGTCTGAGCCCAGATATGTTTCAAGCCTCTTTGCTGTACCGCTTCCTCCCCGCCTACAACCTTTGTTACCCTTCAGATGCGTTTCACATCTCTGCCTGATCTACCAACCCCATACAACATTCATCAGATTACGCCACCACCACCACCATCACACCCGGTCAGTGCCTCCCTTTGAGCAGCGATGCAGAACGGATAAAAGCGAGAAACGATTCCACGTGTCTCTCGGAAGAGCCACGGATGGGAGGAGTCTGTGCCTTGTCCCACTTCATCCTCTCCCGCAGGCGCTGGGCACACCTGGGCCGGTGAGGCTTCCTCTAAAAAGGCGTTGCCCCTGATCCCGTGCCAAAGAGCTGACAGCTACTGTGCAATTCTGACCGAAGTGCTTTGTGTGCTACACAGGGATTTCATTGTATTCATATTGTGTGTGCGTGCGTGCGTGTTGGGAGTGGGGGAGCGGTTAACGCGTCGCGCTACTGAACCCGGCAGCCCGAGTTCGATTCCCGCTCACGGCCAACACCGGTGATGATTATCTGAACCGGTCCCGGGCCTCCCCTAGGTCGTCTCACCCCCAAATGAGTACCTGGTGTGGTGTGTGAACATCGCCACTGGAGAGACAAAGGCGGTCGGGCGGGGTGTTGGCCACCCACCTCCTCGTGTGCCGTTCTGGCCTTTATAGGTGCTCGCCAACAGCACTTGCCCCTACAGTCTGTTACAGGCTACACGGGGGTCTTTGATGTGGGGGGGCGGGGGAGTTTGATTCCTGGCCATGGCGAGCATCGGTGGCGAGCGATGCCCGAACCATAATAAAGGTTTTTGGGTGAGATCGCGTTATTTATAAATGTGTCGCAAACCTCCACCACCCGACAACGCCAATCACTAAAAAATGTGTCACGTTTACAAAAGACAAATAGTTCACTACTTTAGCCCAGCGGTGTGTTGAAGATAATTGTCTTTAGTCAACGTGACACATTTTTTGCTGATTGGCCGTGTCGGGTGGTGGAGGGTTCCGACACATTTATAAATAACGCGATCTAACCCAAGAACCTTTATTATGAATCATATTGGTCGCGAAAGCCTACGTGTTAAACGTCCAAACCATCCTCCTTCGCCCCGTAATTTTGGTGACCCGAGTCACTCTTCGCAAATGAGACTCCATTCTGCCCTCTTGATTGCTCGCCAAGTTAAACAAAACACGATCTCTCCCGTAATCTTCCTTTGTGGGGGAAGGAAAAAAAACAACAAAGGGCAGCGTCTCTTTACAGCTGGTGACATTTGTTCTGCCGCCAGGACCGGTGGTGCCACGTGGATGGAGAGACGCGAGTCGGGGTGAAACGTCCCTCTCGTACTACTCTCATACTCTATGAGACCTCCTTTACCAGTGGCAAAATATAGTAGTAGGTTTTTACCCTTTGAACTGGTACAAATCTGACACCTTTATACAAGGCATCATGTTTGCAATAACCGCAACACAAGCAGTGAAAATGCAAACAAAAAGAAACAACTCTGATAATGAAGTTGATTGGTCCACACCCGAGAGAGCTTTCCTTAGGCGCACGCCTTTTGGCGTCATCTGGTCCAACACCAATGGAGACTAGGCTCTAAGGAAAGCTGTCTCGGGTGTGGACCAATCAACTTCAAGGACAGTGCATATCATTACCATTATCAGAGTTGTTTCTTATTGTTTGCATTTTGACTGCTTGTGTTGCGGTTATTGCAAACATGATGCCTTGTATAAAGGTGTCAGATTTGTACCAGTTTAAAGGGTAAAAACCTACTACTACTCTCATACTCTCGTACTACACTCGTTCTCCTCTCATACTCCTCTCGAACTACTTTGACGGATGAAATAATGGGGGGCACGAGAAGGCAGGGGGGGGGGAGGTGTGGCGGTGGGGGTGGGGTTATAGAAAAGTCAGCGGCACAACGCACGCACGAGGATGGGAGCCAAAGCGCAAGGGATGAATGCCCCCCCACCCCCCCAGGTAAGAGTACACCACGTTATTTGCGATGATCAAAGTGCAACGTCGCACATTCAACCTTCTACGTATCCGCCCTGACCAATTAAAAGCGCACGCCAAAAAATAAACACTGGGATTCTCCCGTGTTGTTTTCTGCCCGGAGCAAAACAAGCGGAAACGAAGCGTCTGGTTTTTTTTTTTACCGCCGGGCGCCAAACGGATGGTCCTGGGAGTTTTTATCGGTTTTTTTTTTGTTCTGCTCCGGAGCTTTCGAGGCAGGATTTGTGTATCATACAGACTCGCAAAACGCTTGGCTCGCGGAGTGACCAAGAGACGGCAGGTTAGCAAGCAAGTTGCTGGCTAAATTTCGATTTAAAGCTTTCGTAACTGCAGGGATTCATCTTCTTGGTTCTTTCGGTAAAGTCACGTAGAAGGGAAATAATAAAACTTTACCGAAAGAACCAAGAAGAAGTTGCCGGCTGCCTTTGGAGATAATCTGGGCACTTGTCCCCTCGAATGCACGGGGGGATTTCTTCAGCCATCCTCGACTCTTCCCACGTGCGAATAAGCTCGGTGAGCGAATGCGGCCAAATATTCCCAAGCAGCGCTCTCTTGAGAAGCAGCCTTTGTGACACCACGCCCCAGAGAATCTCGTGCGAGTCGCTGTTCGAGATACGTAAATACATTTTAAAATAATTTCTCCCGTTGATAACATTGAATTTGCAATGTCTGGCCGTGTATGGTACTTGCGGCGCTCGGCTTATCATCCAAAGGTCGTGATTTCAAAATTTTGGCTACGTGCTGCCTCCGTCCGCAGTGGTTGTTCTACGGGGGGGGGGGGGGGGGGGGGAGGTGTGGGCTGGTGAATGACCCCTGACAATAGGAATTTAGAAATTTCGACCAGGGCTGTCAACGGTGATGAGCATCGTCCCACGCTCAGCTGAGCAGGCCGGAACACTTCCGAGCTTCAGGATTTCCACCGGAGAGGAGGCGTGAGCAGCCGCGCAGGGGACGGCAAGATTTTGAACGGGGCCTGCAAGACTGCCAATTCGGTGGCGAATTAGTCTCTCGCGAATTTCACGCCCCGACAACCCCGTCACCGGTGTCGAGGACTCGGCTGTTTCATCGGGTTGATCGCCTCCCTCTCGTCCGTCCCTTGTTCCACTACCGCGCCACAGGAGAGCGCAACGTTCATTCCCTTCCTCCCTCTTTCCTCGCTCTGCTTCGCTCTGGAAACCATCCCTCCCTACCCCACCGTGACCGCCGCCTCCACGCATATCCCTACCTCCCACCGTCTCTTTTCTCCGAATTCCTAAAACCTTGCTCAATTCAAGAAACGTGTTGGTTCTTATCTGCCGCGCTTTCATTAACACGTGCTCTCTCTCTCTCGATTTGCCAGCTTTGGAATTCCCCCCCCCCCACCCCCCTGTCGTGTCTGTTCTCAGCTTCCCGCAAACCAGGCCCTATTCATGAAACACGTTATCTATCTGCTGCACTATCTATCATAAGCCGGGATGGTGTTGGCTGTGCATGTGGCCCGTAATCCAGCGCTGTGGAGGCAGCAGCGAGGGTTTGATGGATCACACAAAAGGTTGTGAAAGCCTCTTCCCGTGGGTGTCGAGACGCCAAATCTTGGCTTTCCCGGGTAAAATGCAATAATAGCAAATGTGAGCTCCATCTATTCCAAGTCATTTCTTTCAAACTGCTGTTTTTGTTGAGTTTCTTGCCCTTCCCCCCGCACCCAACTCCGATTAGCGCGGTTGGCTACGTACGGTGCAAAAGAAGTTCAACGTACACGCTTACGTTGCGAGGGTTTTCTCCGTGTGCTCCGGTTTCCTCCGACACGATCTGATTGGCGTGGGAGCCTTTTGTGCGTGCAGCGGCCTGTGACCTCCGTGTGAAAGGCGCTTTACGAGTGTCAATTATTATTATTATGAAACACTCATTAATTGGCTGGTAACACATTCATATATATATACAGAGGATGACTTTCCCGCTTTGCTCGTGGCTCCTCGTTCCTCCGAATCATTCATTCTCTCTCTGTCTGCGAGAGCGAGCCAATCCTATGTGGTGGTGGTGGCGGCGATGCGTGACAAGTTGACATTATTGTTATTATCATGATCGTTCTAAGTGTTATTATACTTGGTATCGATATTATTGTTATTATTTGTTACTATTATTAGTAGTGCTATTGTTATCGGTATTATTGATATTATGACTGTTATCAACACATTCCTGCGGAGGGAGCTGGTAGGAACGTTGGGTTGCTCGGTCAATGGCCAGGGTCAACGGCGGCGTGGTGTATTCCGCAAATATGCCCGACTGTGAGGGCGGGCACAAGCCGGCGTGAGTAGGTTAAACGTTGAGTTTTATAAGGGCACCACGGGGTGACCAGCCCCTCCCCACCCAGCCCCTCCTCACCCAGCCCCTCCCCACCCTCCCCACCCAGCCCCACCCTCCCCACCCAGCCCATCCCCACCCAGCCCATCCCCACCCAGCCCCTCCCTGCACGACGGACACAATAATCCCTGTGGGCTGGTGTAACCAGGAGGTTCCTACCAGTATTATTAGAATTGCTATTATTGTTATTATTCGTGATATTGTTATCATTATTATTGTTATATATTGTTATTGCGTGACGACTGTGTGTTGTCGTCGTGGTGTGTTCTGGGACCGTTGTTTGTTGTTGTTGTACTGCCCTGCCCAAGCCTGCGCTTAGTGTTGAAAAATCGGCAGGAATTGTACTTCACGTATTGATGATATTTACTTATTTCAGTGACCTGCCTACCTTCCCTCTATACTTTTCACTCCCGTCGTGTTTTTTGTATTTTGGGTTGTTGTCACCTTCTGACCCGCCCCGACTGGACATGTGTGAAAAAGAGCTTCACAGCTCATCGGATTCCTCCAGAAATAAATAAAGATTCTCAATCCCGATTTTAGGGGGCCTTTCGGACCTGTGCCCAACAACCGCGGCAGGAACCAGAACCTCACCCTCGCGTGAGGCGAACGAATCGACAGAGCGAGCGGTTAACGAGGGCTCGGTGTGCAAGCGTCGCTCACCAGTACTGAGCGGTGAGGTTGACCGTCTTCTTGAAGCAGGCAGACACGAGGTCCTTCCACGGAGTGTCTGGAGGCAAGGACGCCTTGACGTCCTTCATGCGATCCTTCAGCATCTCGCAGCACTTCTGTATGCCCTGCACGCAAAGACAAACATCCAACCTTAAAGCCTTAACGGACTGTTGGGGCAAGTGCTGTTAGCTAGTAGCACCTATGAAGGCCGGCACGGCACGCGAGGGGGGGGTGTGGGTGGCCAGCACCATGCCCGGCCCCCTTTGTCTCCCCAGTGGCGATGTTTACACCCCCCGCACCAGGTACTCATTTGACACTGAGTCGACCTAGGGGAGGCTCGGATCGGATAATCGTCACTGATGTCGGTCGTGAGCGGGAATCGAACTCGGGTCGGCGGCATTGAGGAATCTCTACCGCTGATACCAAGCCACCATTGGAGGTGAGTACTTCCATTGACTCGGGTGAGGGCCCTGCAGGGCCAGGATCAGGGCCATCGACTCGTTCATTGCACAAGAGTGCACCGTCAACGAGTACACCGTAAGGACATAGCACCACCACATAGTACACGCGCGTCTTGACTGAATCGTTGCGTGTGACCGTCAGCGGCACGGCTTCTGCAGTGGAAAAACTGAGCTGCTCTGGGCTGGCATGGCTCGAATATGGTAATGAGAGGTAAGAGGCGAGTAAAAACTGTCATGGTGACCAACCTCCACAATTGCACATGGCACAGATTTCGAAATCACCGGTAATTTCTAAAATTACAAACGGTCACGGGTGAGCAATGCTCTGGCAAAATTGAGATCTTAGGCTCAAGCACACACAGCTGCCAGTGATTAAACCAGGTTCTCAGGCACAGTGAGTTTAATGGTCTCAGTCCGGTAACCAATGCCTGACCAAAAGACGTAAAACATACAAAGTTTAGTTTTTTCACTCGGCGCCGTAAAGAGGAACATGTGGATCGCAGAGCGAACACAAAGCAGAGACATCGTACCGACTGCTAAGAGATGCAAGTGGGCTTGGGCCAGACACCGTCTCTTGATAGCGGTAATCGCCGAGGGTTGAGACAAACAATGGAGTGGGGCAGCCAAAGGAGGTGACATGCCCAGGAGGACGTCCACTCAAGAGATGGAGCGATGGGATCAACCCGTGTGCAGGAGCTAGATGGATTGTTACGCACATATGCTGAACTTCTTTCGCACCGTACGTAGCCAACCGTGCTAATCGGAGGTGCGGGAGATGGCGACTGCCTCGTGCAGCAGTGGATAGAACATGGCTGATGTTGGTGATGGCTGGGGTCCACCACTGAGGAATACATTTTTGCTCACGTATTGGATGGCCGACGCGCGGCAAACGGCTACGCAGAGAGCGCGCGACGGGGAGTGCCACCCGCACGCACCCCCGATGAGCACGGTTGGCTACGTACGGCGCGAAAGAAGTTCAACGTAACGTACGTACAGTAAGACAGGTTTATAGGCGACGCCGCAAGGAAGACCAGGGGGGCTCAGGAAGGGCACCGTTTTCACCTCATCGCGCGAGCGCAACGGATTGGAAATTTGGTAATGAAATGTTAAAGATTGTTTCATTTCCGCGATTAACCCCGGCTTTGTTTAAATCAAGGGAGCCGATCTATCGCACGTTTAAAAAAAAATTTAATTAAAGAGCGCTAAATTGTGCGAACTGAACACGCAGGTTTTGTAATTGCGCGAAGTGCGTTGCCGCTCAGCACCGCCGTCGGCAGTGGGTTAGCGCGAGGATAAAAAAAAAAAAGGATGAGAAATTAAATTAACGATTCGGCAACTACAAAAAAAACACGCGCGCACCACCTTCGTCCTTTTGCGGAGAAAACCGTTACGCTGATCTATAACACGGAGAGCTATCGGCTTCACGTCCCTTCTAAATAACGGTGCCCTCCACTGGGAAGCCGGAATCGAACCTGCCGACACTGAGCAGCCTACCGTGGCTGATAAGGGAACGGCTCGCACAAAGGCAAAGATCCCCCATGTAGCCTTCACAGACTGTTGGGGCAAGAGCTGTTAGCGAGTAGCACCTATGGAGGCTGTAGCACCTATGAAGAGTAGCACGAGGGATGGGTGGCCAGCACCACGCCCGGCCCCCGTTGTCTCCCCAGTGCCAAGGTTTACTCACTGCTCCAGGTACTCATTTGAGGCTGAGTCGACCTAGGGGATACCCAGGACAGGTTCAGAAAATCGTCACTGGTGTTGGCCGTGAGCGGGAATCGAACTCGGGCTGCCAATTTCGTAAGGGCAGCGCGCTAACCGCTGCACCACCACGCACACACGCACCCGCGCGCACGCACGTACGCACGTACATTACTGTCAAAGCCTTCATCAATTCCGGCCGAGCCGGCGTAATTGACTTAGTGGGGGGAGATGGGGGATTGGGGTAAAAAAAAAAAAGTCCCTTTAGCCACCGCACGTGCTCAGACAGCTAAAGCGTCCGCGAGCGAGCGAGCGAATCAATCGGCACGCCGGGGCAATACCGGGCCGAGTGCAGAAATCCACGCGGCGCGGAATAATGGCTGCGTTGGCAGAAGCCCTGGAATGAATCGCCCGCTGCTCCCCTGACACAATGCTCAGGGTGGCTTGCGCGGAGGAGGAGGGCAAGGCCACGCCACCGAAGCCGCGCGGACGGTATTAGTTACAGCGCCCGAGCGCTGACGAACAAGTGCAGACGCTTGATATCCCATACCTGTCCTGCGTGCGCGCACACGAGCGTGTGTGTTTGCACTGGCGCGCTCGTGCGCGTGTGTAGGAATGTGTGTGTGGGTGGCGGTGGCGGCATTGTGGTTTGTCCACAAGCGAGGTGATGCCCTGCCCGCCGACCGGGTTCAATCCCAGGTTGTGCGCATTCTTGAGTGGCAGGTGGCATCTGAGTGATGATCTGTGCCGACCTTCGACAATCTAACGCCAGACAAAGGTGGCTGGGCACGCACGGTGGTAGCCGGACATAACAACAAAAAATTATACTTTTATTTTATATCGCGTCATTCATGCTAATCGAATCCCATAACAGAAAGCCCTGCTATATCTCATGCCACCCTTAATCGGTGCTCACGTACTGCACTTGCCTCAATGGTCTATTTAGGGTTAAAAGTAAGTTAAGAGCGTGCACGTGTTTGTATGTGTTTGTGTAATTATAGGTTCAATTCTTGGTTAAGCACACAACTGACGATCTGCATCTGAACTTGTCTCGTGCCTAGCCTAGGCTGACTCAACATCCCTCCACGTGTAACATCAGCCTTAATAGACACTCACCCACTGCACCTTCGATGAGTACAGCTGGCTACGTACGGCGGCAAAGAAATTCAACACAAGTACAAATGCATCGATCGTCTACCCGAGCCAACAGTTCTGTAACCCGATGGCGCACGCCTGCGATCCAGCGCTTTGGAGGTGGTTCACGCAGACCCCAATGGGCTGCGATGTAGCCAGGGGGCAGCTGGGTTCATGAACCCACTCGTGCAGACGTGACCCCTCGTATGCCCGACCGGTTGTCTCCGGGCATCAAAAAGACGTCCAAAAGAACAAAACAAAAACGTTCCTTCAAAACAGAATTTCCGTCAAACATCCCGAAGTACGGATCGCTCCCGAACAATTGCCGAGCAGAGGCGGCGGCTGTCGGGTGCGCAGGTGGTGTAACTGCGCCGCCCCCCCCCCACTCCCGCCGTGGGTCGGAGGGGTTCAGGCGGCGGCCTTCGAAGAGAAATAGGAGCAGAGCAGGGGACCCCCCTCCCGTTTCATTCCCCGCATCCCAAGGCCCGTGCCAACCACGCTACGCCGCCGGTCTCAGTCTCCGCCCGGCTTAGCCGGAGTATCAAGTGACACTGTTGTTGTGATTTAAGGAGCCCCGCCAGCAATATGATGCTGATTGTTACACAAATAAAAGCCCCGTGTATTATTATTAATAGTGCGCTCGTTGACATTGCAGCCGATTGTGGGTCTCGGTGAAGGCTTCCAGAGAGGAGAGTGAGCTCCGCAAGTTTAAGAAGTGTAAAGAAAAGGTCTCTGGGAAAATGAGATTTAGCAGCTCTGAATCAAGATTAATGGCCGCGGAAAGAGTACAAACTAAAGAGTCGTAATAAGAGAGGCTATCCTGGAAGCTGTACAAGTGTGTGTTTGTCCATCTCGTTGTGCCGTCGCGTGTGCGAGTGAGTGTGTGTGGGAGCGGTAGTGTAGTGGTTAGCGCAATGCGCTACTAACCTGGTGACCCAAGTTCGATTCTCGCTCACGGCCAATACCAGTGATGATTATCTGAACCGGTCCTGGGCCTCCCCTAGGTCGACTCAGCCTGAAATGAGTACCTGGTGCGGTGTGTAAACATCGCTACTAGGGAGACAAAGGCGGTCGGGCGTGGTGCTGGCCACCCACCCCCTCGTGTACCGTTCCGGCCTTTATAGGTGCTGCTCGCTAACAGCACTTTTCTCCGACAGTCTGTTAAGGCTATAGGGGGGATCTTTGTCTTTGTGGGAGCGGTAGTGTAGCGGTTAGCGCTACGCCAGTGATGCTCATCTGAATCGGTCCTGGGCCTCCCCTAAGTCGACTCAGCCTCAAATGAGTGTCTGGTGCGGTGTGTAAACATCGCCACTAAGGAGACAAAGGCGGCCGGGCGTGGTGCTGGCCACCCACTCCCTCGTGCTACTCTTCATAGGTTCTACTGCCTTCATAGGTGGTACTCGCTAACAGCACTTGCCCCAACAGTCTGCTGAGGCTATCAGGAGATCTGTGTCTCTGCGTGAGTAGGGAGAGCTGTAATGCAGTGGTTCGTGCCCTGTACCTTGCATCCGCAGTGCAACAGGAATCAAACCTCCGGCCGTCGGGTTCACAGCGCAGTGCACTAACCACTCTCTTCCCCCTCTCCCCCTCCAGACAAGGATATACACACATAATTCACTATATATAAACATCAGATGTGCATGAGACGTAAAACGCATTACATGATGTTTAAATTGGCCATGATGAGGCTGGGAATATATTTCCACACGGAGCACAAGGCAGGACATGTGCAGCGCCTGCTGCTGCTGCTGCATGTCCGCTGTTTATACGCGTTACACTGCTTGTTTTAGCTACGAGTATAAATCACAAGCGGTTTAATTCATCGCTTCCAAATAGTCTACGCAATGCTGTCGTCAACCAGCTGTTGTTCTCTCCCCCCCCCCCTTCCCCAAAGCGATATGCGCAGATGTATGTTCAAGTTCTTTCTCACCGTACGTAGCCAACTGTGCTAATCGGAGGTGCGTGGGGAAAGACAACAAACTAAACACAAAAAGGAGTTACAAAGAAATGGGTTTTCAATCGAGATTATTTAAAAGTGCATAGCTCCAGTGGCTTCCTAATTTTGGAAGGAAGAGCGTTCCAGACGGCCGCAGAAGCGCATCTGAAGGCGCGCGATGCGGTGACCGTGTTTGTTCGATGGCTTAGCCAAAATCCGCCGCTGCGAGGATGTAAACGTACGCACGTAGGAATCGGTACCACGTTGGGTAGCACACACACACACAGCGGTGTGTAAACCTGATGGCCCAGGTTTGATATCTAGCCATAGATAATAATACTAATATCAGTGGCAAGTGGTGGTATCTCGTATCTAGGGTGACTAAGTATTCAATTAATACCTGGTGTGGAGTGACACTGAGACAAAAACGGCCGGGCATGGTGCTTGGTGTATTACTTGTCAGGCGTAATCGGTACTTGCTGACAGCTGATGATGAATAATATGATAAAGCTGCTGATCATGCTTGTTTTGCTCTTCACAATGATAATGATACTGTTGATGGTAACGTTGCTCCTGTTGGCTCACTGATGTAGATGAAGTTGTTGATGATGATGCTCGTGTTGCTGTTAACAATGATAACGCTGATGACGGTACTGCCATTAGCGGTAAGGGGCACCGCTGCTGGCTCCACTGATGTTGATGATGCTGATGAAGTTGCTGATGATGATGCTCGTGTTGCTGCTCACAATGATAACGCTGATGACGGTACTGCTGTTAGCGGTAAGGGGCACCGCTGCTGGCTCCACTGATGTTGATAAAGTTGCTGATGATATTCTTAGGTTTTTTCGGTAAAGTCACATAGGTAAAAAATTTAAATTAATAAAAGTAAAATAAAAAGTAAAATAAAAATCACGACGTTTCGGAGGCAACACAAGCTTCCATCTTCAGGTGGAACCGTCACAGCACGATAGCTGTATCAAGTGACGCTATCGTGCTGTGACGGTTCCACCTGAAGACGGAAGCTTGTGTTGCCTCCGAAACGTCGTGATTTTTATTTTATTTTTATTTTACTTTTATAAATTTGAATTTTTTACTTATTTGACTTTACCGAAAAAACCTAAGAATATGAATCCTTGCAGTCACGAAAGCTTCAAATCTAGAATTGCTGATGATGCTGCTGCTCATGACGATGGTGCTGCTGATGATGCTGCTGCTGCTGCTGCTACTGCTCATGATGATACTGATGATCAATGTGCTGCTACTAACAGTGACAATGCCGGAGCTGTCAGCTCCGTTGGCGTCAATGAACATGAGAGAGAGAGAGAGAGAGGGGAGAGAGGGGGGGGGGGCGACGGCGGGTACCATGCAGTTGATCTCGCTGCTGACGCTGCCCCCGGTCGCCTGGGCGTTGGGGCTGCACAGGGTGGTCGTAGGCTTCACGGAGACGATGTCGACCGGGACGCCGAGCTCAAATGCGCACACCTGGGCCACCTGAAACGAGAGGCAGGCAGCGGCGGCAACGTACGGTGTTCCGCGAGAGACGGGGGGGGGGGGGAAACCGTTCTCCGTTCTTGGTTCGGAATCACAATCTCGTTGTAGACCGGAGGAATCCGTACGAGCTGTGAAGATCTTTTAACACAGATGTCCAGTATGGGACGGGTCAGCAAGTTACAACAAACGATTAAAAAAACCGACAGGAGTGCACCATAGAGAGAACAGAAGGCAAAGTCACTCGGGTGAGTGGGTTTCCCCTCACTGCGCAAAAACGAGACAAAGATTCCGCGTGTAGCCTTGAATAGACTGTTTGGACTAGTGCTGTTAGCGAGCGACTGTGAAGGCCGGAATGGCACATGAGGGGGTGGGTGGCTAGAACCACGCTCGATGCTTACACACCGCACCAGGTACTGATTTGAGGCTGAGTCGACCTTGGGGAGGCCCAGGACCGGTTCAGATAATCGTCACTGGTGTTGACCACGAGCGGCAATCGAACTCAGGTCGCCGGGTTCGTAGCGTAGCATAGCGCTAACCTTTTCACTACCTCTCCCACACACAAAGATCCCCCGTATAGCCTTAACAGACTGTAGGGGCAAGTGCTGTTAGCGAGCACCTATGAAGGCCGGAACGGTACACGAGCACCACGCCCGACCGCCTTTGTCTCCCCAGTGGCGATGTTTACACACCGCACCAGGTACTCATTTGAGGCTGGGTTGACCTAGGAGAGGCCCAGGACCGGTTCAGATAATCGTCACCGGTGTTGGCCGTGAGCGGGAATCGAACTCGGGTGGCCTGGTTCATAGCGCAGCGCACTGACCGCTACACTACCGCTCCCCACACTCCCACGCACACACACACACGGACACACAAAGACACGCTATCTGGCTCCATACACGCACACGCAAGCATCGCATGATCCACAACACTCAGGACAATCGCGACACTCGCTGCGCTGCGACTCGAGCAACAGGAACTCCGGAACCAACCTTTGTGTTGATCCCTTGTCCCATCTCAATCCCTCCGTGCGTGATGGTGATTGTCCCATCTTGCGCGTAAATCGCCACCGTGCCTGCAAGGAGCAAGAATATCACAAATTTCAACAGCGGCGAGCCGAGCAGAGCTGTTTCGGGGCTGGAGCTTCATAGCCGCTCGGGTTTTTCGCGATGCAATAAAATATCGACGTCAATATGTTTAACGCGTACGTAGGCTTGCACGACCAATATCATTCGCGATAACGTTTTTTGGGGTCGGACCGCGTCGCGTGTAAATGTCACTGTCGTACGCTCACCGCCACCCAACACGGCCAATCAGTAAGGTTTGTCACGTGAACGGGACGTGCCAATTAGTTGCTACTTCACTACCACCGATTGTTGTGGTGCTGAAGTAGCGAATTGAGATCCCCCCCACCGCCCCCCACCCTTAGAGACCCCGAATATTGGTATTATTGACATTCACCAGTGAAAACACATTGAAAGTTATTTATATCTTAAATTTTTGATGTCGGGCCCTCTTTAATCAACTATACATTTCCGGGACCACCCCCACCTTGGGGGCGTATTAATCCACCTCTTTCTTTAACTTGAACTCTAGCGCCTCGCCAGCCACTGCCTCTAATGGGGCCCACCGTTCACCATTTCGGTGTCACGTGACTGCCACTAGGTTCCCCCCCCCCCCCCCCCCCGTAGAATGGCCACTGTGAAGCGTCTGTCCTCAGTTCTACAACCCGCCCGGTGACCTTTCCACGGTCAATTGGTCACCTCTCGACAGCCCCTGGCGCAGCTTTGCCGGGGTGGTGTGAAGGCCAGGTGTGCCCTGTCTAGAGCGCCGACCCCGCGGTCAAGGCGACGCGCCAGCAGCTTAACCCACGAGCCCCCGACCCACGACCCGTGACCAGGACTCAGCGCCGGACAGAAGAGCCCCCGCCGTGACTTGACGGAGGAGCGGGTGTGAGATGGCGAGGGGGTGACAGAAAGGGTAAACACAACCCGTGTTGACTTACAAGTCACTCTCGATCGCCTCTCTGCTCACTCGCTCGTCACTCGCTCACTCGACATTTTTTTCTTTACATCCCTTCAATCAGCGGTTCTCAAAATTTCGGTTCCGGGATCCATCAGGGTCCGGGACGGTCTTCCAAGTGGTCTGCGGTGGGGCTGTGATGCCAACGCAGGTTGATCCGGAGATGACGATAACGTTTATCATACCATTTGTTTTCGGACATTCATATTTTACTCACATTTAATAAAAAAATGAAGTTAGGTGAACTACCGTGATTAAGTTAACCCTAACCCTGAGATCGAAATGCCAACCCAAAAAAAACAACCTTATAGCCGTGTAAAAAAAGTTATAATTATGTACCGGTAATATGAATCACTTTGTATCGAGTGGTATTTAGTGAGAGAAGTGAATGCGTTTTGTCACCAGGGGGTGGGAGGCTGGGTGATCTGTGGAAATGTTTGCATTGGTTGGCCTGCCACAGTGGCGAGATGTTAACTACCTCGCCTGGTATGCAGGAGGTCGTGGGGTTTGATCCCGAACCTGATGCCTGCTGTATATTTGGAGTTTGCGTGTTTTCCCCGTGGTTGCGTGCATTTTTCTCCGGGTCCTCTGGTTTTTCTCTCAATATTTAGAAACACGCGTTTGGAGTATTTGGCTGCTATAAATTTCCACGTGATAAGCCACTTCGTTGAGCTATCATCTGTGAAAGCCAGGTCGCTTCTGAAAATGAGCTACGTAGCTCAGTGGCGGGAGGGGGGTGTCCAGGACCGGTGGAGACATCGATGATTGGCGATGTGCGATGGATTGAAACCGAGAGCCGCACTCACACAAGAAGTGGCACCAATTCCAGGAGAGGTTGTACTTTATTGGCACCACGGCCAAGCCCCGTTTCTTCCAGCGGTTGTCAGCGTTGAACTTGGCGATGTCTGCCTGCCGCTCTCTCACAGCTGCCGTCGTCAGTAGATCTGCGAAGCGAGGGAGCCGCCATCATCACCGTCATCATTGTCAACATCGTCACTCTTGCTATTGTTTGTGGTTGTATAACTCGCGTGATGATGTCATCAAGTTGACCCCCATCATGTATCGTCGCGGTCATTGATGGCGTTTATTTTTACGGCTATCATCATCGCTCTGATTGTTGCCATCATTGTCAAAAAAATAAAAACGGCCAGGTGGCTCAACGGCAAAGTAAGCGGTTTGCGATTGAAAGGTTGTGAGTTCATCATCATGATCATCATCACCATCCAAGAATCATCATCATTATCTACATTTGTAACTTAAACTTTATCATCGTATTCCATGCCCAACATGTCAGCTCACATGTCCCGTGTCCTATGTCTCATGTCACATGTTCCATATCCCATGCCTAATATCTTGCGTCCCATGTCCCATGTCCCATGTCTCGTATCTTGTATCCCGTGTCCTGTGCGTCATGTCCCCGTGTGTCACGTGTGTGGTTCCTGTGTGAGGGAGGCACGCACCAGCGTAGAGCTGGTGGATGCTGCAGTAGGGCAGCAGGTATCCCAGTGGGGTGACATCGCCCTTGCTGTACAGGTTGAGCCTCCGCACCTCCACCGGGTCCTTTCCCAGCTCCTGCCCAATCTGCTCCATGATGGTCTCCATCACGAAGATGTTCGTTATCGAGCCTGCAGCAACAGTAACGAACGTCATCCGTCGGCTATCATCGTGATCCATCGATTATCGTCATTATCATCATCCGCAAATTGTCATCAATGACCATTCAACAAGCTACCATAATTTCCATGATTAAACCATTAAAAAAGCGAGGTGAAGAATAATTGTCATCGTCGTCATCATCATCAGCAGCCATGGTCTATCCACAGCTGGATGAAGGCCTCCCCAAGACGCCGCCGCCTCTAATGATCCTGCGATGTGATAATTCGCCCATCATCTGTACATGGACTGATTTCATCGCTCCGTCTCCTCAACGGACTTATTCTCTGACTCATTTAAAATAATATCCTTGATTGATCACCTCCAACTCAAACCCAGAGGTCAGTGACCCAGAAGAATCTCTAAATACAGACGGTGCAATACTGTAAGATAATTCATCGACCGATTTATGGATTTATATATTTAATAATGTATGTACTCCTTTTCCTTCAGTTGTGTGTAAGATTCATGTAACACGTTAGGTTGTTGAATTTTCCTCGGCCGCAGAATCCGGCAGAAGGAAGGAAGCGACGGTGAGGTGCGGTGGTATCAACAACATTGCATACTTGTCAACCCCATTATCAGTGCCTACCTTATTACAGACCAATTCAGACCTTATTGGTTACTCCGTTCCCTTATAAATCTCCACGTTCATCCCTACAAAGTCCCAAGGTAGAAACACAGACTAATAGACTTTTTAAAAAAATGCCCGTATTGAAATGTCTGTACGCCGTATGGGTCTGAAAACTCAATTTCCCTGCACAAGAATACGGGGTAAACCGTGTGGGTTGACACGGTCTGGTTTGTGATTGGCCTCTTGCATTTGGACTTTAATTGCCGAGGAAAAAGGCCTCAATAATAATTTCCAGGAGGCTCCTGCGTTGGGATGTTGGGCCAATTTTAAGCGGCAGAGTGGGGCATGGCGGTGGGGCTCGTGCCTCGCAGCGACAAACACCTGGGTTTGATCCCTGGCTCGAGCGGCCAACATAACATCGCTGCCGTTCGACACGTGATGTTTCTGTGCCGGGCTTGGGATCCAATGTTGGGGGTGGCTTCTGGGTCAATCAGGCTAAGGGAGAACGCATTAAGCGAGTCTGAGAAACGACCGTAGGAGGAGCACACTTCTCCCCAGATTTAACACATTTTCGACAACGAAGGCACCTGAAATTTGCAGCAATACCGTGGTTTAACTGCAGCTGTTTTTCAATGCAATGGGTTGCCCGAGACGCCGTTCGTGATAAATCAGCGGAGCTTCCTGAAGGAGGTGGCATTTTTGTCAAAGACGTGAGCTTTGAGCGCTAATGAACACACATAACTCTTTGGACCACGTGCACACAGCGAGACCCTTTCACAACTCCCAACTATGCATTTACACATGTGCACACACACTTCCAAGATCATTACTAGGTCATCATGGCCAATGTTGCCACGGCGACAGCACCACACAACTGTTGCGCGGTTGACAGACAACCCCCATGGCTCTCGCAGCGTCCCGCAGTTTGGCTTTGAGTGGCAGGGTGGCGTTGGCAGCAGGGTGGTAACGGTCGTGTCTCACAACAAGGGCCTACGTGCGACTCCTGACCCGAGCGCCTGTCTGTCTGTCTGGGGTTTGTAAGTTCTCTCCCTGTTCTGCATGGGTTGACTCATGCCACCTTGGCCGGATGTTGACTACCTCGTCTGGTATACATGAGGTCATGGGTTCGATCCCGACCCTTGACGCCCGTATATTTCGGAGTTTGCATGCTCTCCCCGTGGTCGTGTGGATTTTTCTCCGGGTCCTCCAGTGTTTTCCTCCACATTTAGAATCGACATCACGCGTTTAGAGTATTTGGCTGCTAAAAATGTTCACGCGAAAAGCCGCTTTGTCGAGCTATCATTTTTTGCCAAGTCGCTTCTGAAAAAGAGCTGCATAGCTTAGTGGGCCTTACCTGGTACAATAAACAAAATCGTTTAGTTTTAGTTTACTCCCGGGTCCTCCGGGTTTCCTCCCACAGCTAAAATAACCTTGGCCGCAAATCGAACTCGGGTCGGCAGGTTCATAGTGCGCGGTGCTCACCCACTGTGCCACCACCCCGCCCCGCTTTTCACCACAAGCTCCGGGTCAGAAATGACTGGAAACTCAATCTGGCCACTGTGGGTCGTGGCAGTTGCGGGGGGAGAGGGGGGCGCCCAGGATTTCCACAGAGCCCAGCCCACCACCCCCATCCCCCGTGTACGTCAACGCGGCGTCGCCAAACAAGGCGTATCGGGTTGCGCCGCTCCGTCGCAGCAGCAGCAGCAGCGGCGGCGGCAGCAGCAGAGGCGACGACGGCGGCAGCAGGGGTGGCTGGGCGCGCATTCCCACGGCTAAAAGGCGCGCTAACAATCGCGCTTCCAGGAAGAGCTGCGCCACCGCTGAAAGGGATTTTTCCCTCCTTTGAAAAATTCCTTTTCCCGAAATCCGCAACGTAAACACTGGTGGCGAGGCTTGAGAGCAGTCTGCACACCGGGGCGGTGGGCGGGCGGGCGGGCGGCGGGCCGAGGGAGAATAAATAAATCGCACGAGCAAATAAATAAATATCATGTTCGAAGCACCATGTGTTGTTAAACCGTGTTTTAGCAAGAGTGATTATTCTAATTGCGGGAGACGAAAGCAAGACGCTGCTTTTGTGAACGTCTGGGTCTGCGCTTGGGGGGGTTTCCAGATTTTTTTTTTGTTTGGGGGGGGGAGGGGGATGAGTAAAACGATCCGAAACGTCTGCCCAGAAGGGCCCAAGAGAGGCCAAACTTGTCAGACTAGAACACCAAATAATAGGGTACAGTTTTGAGAACTCCTATTGATTCGAATCAGATTTCACAACGAGTTAAAAAAAAACGCAATTGTTTATGATATCACCCACGCTGGCAATCCCTCGTCAGCCTGCAGTATATATGTACGTGTATTTGTGTATTAACCATGGGTTTTATGCGCATTGCGCAATGAACCCAACGACCTTAGTTCGATTCATACTCTTAGTTTTTTTCGGTAAAGTCACGTAGGTAAAAAATGTAATTAAAATTAATAAAAATAAAATAATAAATTTAATTTTAATTTCATTTTTTACCTATGTGACTTTACCGAAAAAACTAAGAGTATGAATCCTTGCAGTCACAAAAGCTTCAAACTTAGTTCGATTCCCAGCCACAGCCAATATGAGTTGCAAGCGATATGTAATCTGGGCATGGGGTGCCCCCAACTTCACTGACCAGCACTGACCAGCGTGGTGAAGTATGGTCAATCAACCCCGATAACCGATATGGATGTGCGGAGGCCTTTATCAGTAGTGCGTTGACAAAGCACTGCAAACTATTATAATTAATAATCGTTGCATGTACACATTCAGTTCTTGACCGATGATATTCCGCGACGATCACAATGATGACCCAGCAATGAGAATCATTATAATTGATTGTGATTGGTACTCGTGCAGTGTTGGTGCTGCTGCTGTTGCTGGTAATGACGATGATGACTGATGAAAACCTGTACCTGGGGAGCGACACCACTGATGGCTTGGAGTGTTGGTTTTCAGTGCCACCGGGATGAGATGCCAGTTGGCACACTTGTACACTGCATACGAACGCACGCACGCACATACACACACACACACACACGCACTCTATCAATCTTTATTTTAAGTGGCAATATCGCCCGCAATAATCTTGTGCACCGGTGCCCATTGCAGCAGAACGGGAAACGTTTGAGGGGGCGTAGAGAGCAACAGGAATGAGAAAAGAAACGCGCCGCGACCTCATCAGCTAACACCCACTGAGCAAAATAAATTGCAACCGCGCTAAAGAAAGGTAAGTAGTGAAATTTTTTTGTAAAGATGTTTTTTTCTCTTCGAAAATTTTCGATTTCATGGGAAGAGTCCCGGACAGATGCGTCTCGCAAGGGTGTTCCAGATTTGTTTTGGTTTCTGGCAGAGACAACAACAACAACAACCGCCATTCGCCACTAAGTGGCGGTGACGTCACCACGACGCTTGTGCCAGGCCATGTGCACCTTGAGGCCACGTGAAGTGTTGGCAGAGACAGGGCACACAGACACACACACACTGCGGCTGCTGCTGCACCTGCTGGCAGGTGGGTCAGAGGTCGCAAACGGGTTTTGATTCCTTACCCGTACCCGGCCGCACCAGGGTCGCAAATGGGTACCCTACCCGGCCGCACCAGGGTCGCAAATGGGTACCTGTACCCGTACCCGGCCAGGTACGGGTTCCCGTTCCCTACCCGTACCCTACCCGAAATGAGTGATAAACGGCTACTAACCAGTGACTCACGGCCTACCCGTACCCGTACCTGGCCGCACCAGGGTCGCAAACGGCTACTCGTACCCGTACCCAGCCGGGTACGGGTAGCCGGGTATCGGGTAGGGTACGGGTATCGGGTACCCGGTTGCGACCTCTGCAGGTGGGTCAGAGGTGACAAGTTCACGGTTGACTCTGCATGACTTGCTGAAAGGATGACGGTGGACGGCTGATGGTGGTCGTCGGCTTGATGACTTGCATGTCGCCGATTGAGTTCAGCGGCTGGTGTTCAGATTTCGAATGCTCGTTGACGTATGATAAATGCTTAAGGAATATTAAAAGTTATATTGATCAATTATTTTAAGAGCGTAAGTGGGGATAGTTCTTCCCTATTACATATTTTACTATTTTAAAGACTCGTAAATGGAAATGGCTGAACATCGCTTTGCAGACTGTCCCTGAATAAGAGGCTTAAGGACTTCCCGGCTAAACAAACGGTAATTATTACTAGAATCATTCACACCAGCAGGAATGCAGCTCTTAAGAGTTGATACAACAGAAAAACGCATTTCATCGACGTCTCAGAGGCTTTTAAAAAAACAATAACACACGACACTTCAAACCCCACACTCCGGGAGCTGTCTGGCGCTGAGCTCCGGCAAACATTTGGTGTTGCCTAAACTCCGGGGCCCCTTGGAGCCCCTTGTGGGCCGGGCCCCCCCCCCCCCCCGCGGGCCCCCCCCCGCCCTCCACCCCGCCCCCCACCCCCGCGCTTTTTGGCTTCGATCGCTCGCGGCTCCCCAAGCGCCGCCACGGACCGAAGCGACTCACCGTTGTCGGAGAAGCAGAAGCACTGGCCCACTTCGTTGTCGTTGTTGGCGCAGCCGTTGTCGCAGTAGTAGGTGATGAGCACTCCGTTGAGGAGGCCCTCCTCGGTGAATCCCACCTGGGGGGCACACCGCTGTGAGCCCACCGCAGCCGGCAGCCGTCGCCCCCGTAACAAGACATCGGGCTACTTGCGGCGGGTTCGGCCGTCGCCCGTTCCGTAACGTCACGGTTCAGCGGCGGAGGTTTTTGTTTTTCGACATCCCGAACAAGCGACGGAAATGCAGGGAGCGTCTCGCCGCTTAAATGGGCGACGGGGCAGCGCTCGAGCGAGCAGAATTTGGAATTTCCACGTTCCCCAATAGTGGTGGGGTCGGTCTCTCCAACTGACAAGCAGTTTACGCAAAGCGGTACCGATTTTATCGACTCATCTGGGAGATGATGGGCTGAGTCTCCACCAGACAAAGATTCAGCGCGAAAAATATAAATGAACAACAAAACAACGAAACCGGTGGCAAAAGTGAGCGGCATATTCAGTGAGGAGTTACGAACGCTGGACAACCAGCAACTCCTGATTCCATTCAACGGATCACCAGACTCAATGTACAATTGTAACGTGTTGACATCCACGCTTCAAATGAAAGATCTAGATCGAGTTCAACTCACGAGCGAAGTGAAACCGAAGCGTAAAGTACCGACCTTGTACTTGACGATGTAACGGTGCCGTTTCCCGAGCATCTCCATGTCGTTGTGGAGACTCAACGAGCAGCGCACCGGCCTCGAGAGGGAAACAAAACGCACGGCGGTGACATTTCAAACGCCACAATTCTGGAGGTGGCCCGGTGGCTCAGGAGGTCAGAGCGCCGAGCCGGTAATCTCCTCGGTGAATCCCAGCTGGAGAGCGCTCATTACCCACAAAGTGCTTGCCACAGATGTACCACAACACCTTGCTGATCTCGTCAAAGGAGCATGAACCAATCACGCAAACTCCGGCTTTTGGTCGAACAAAGAAGGTCACCGGAATCGCGCGCTTCCGCGGCCGTCTGGAACGCTCCTCTTTCCGATATTAGGAAGCCACTAGAGCTATGCACTTTTAAATCTAGGTTGAAAACTCAGTTCTTTAGAACTGCTTTTTGTGTTTAGTTTGTCCTTCCTCCGCACTTGTGATTAGCGTGGTTGGCTACGTATGGTGCGAAAGAATCAAGCTCTTTTATGACAAGAGCATCGTCATAAATGAGGGAGACGATGACCGATGACGGGAGGTTTCTGTGTGAAGCTCATGCATGCGAGACGATTGTCCGCTGTACTCAGGGATTGCAATCACCTGAGACGCTGGTTTGTGTAGACGTGGGTTCGCTGGTTCGTGTGACGTGGGTTCGCTGGTTCGTGTGAGCGTGGGTTCGCTGGTTCGTGTGACGTGGGTTCGCTGGTTCGTGTGACGTGTCCTCACAGTGGAGTGGGGGGATAAGTAGGGGGGCAGTCTTCGTGCAAGGGAGATGCAGTGGCAGATACAAATTGGTGGGGGGGGACCCATTACCCAATTTCCACCCCTTGAAAGAGTGGTATTTAATATTTACCAGAGAAAAATGAAACATTGATTGTTTTCTTTAGCAATGTAGGCAGGGCCGTCCTTAGAGGAGATGCGGGGTCCGTGGCAAATCCCACCGTGCGGGCCCCTCCCCCGCCCGACAAACTAAAGTGGAAGTATTACTCCATCTGACACCACCGTGACGTTGAAGCGCGGGGCCCCCCAAAGCGCGGGGCCCGGGGCGGTCGCCCCCCACCGCCCCCCCCCATTCGCCGTGACCCAAGGGACGGCTCTGAATGTCGGGCGACATTTAAAAAGCTTGACATTTTGGTACCGTCCTCCCCCTACCCCCGCACCGTGTACCAGTTCCGGATGCGCTGCTGGGGAGAAGGCACGGCCGTAGCGACCTCACCGGTTCAACAGGAAGGCGGCCACCGCCGTAGCGCAGGCGACCGCGTTAGCGCCAAGCGCCTTCCCTCCGTAGCCGCCTCCCAGTCGCTTGGCGGTCACCGTCACGCTGCGTGCGCACAACGCCCGGGATGAGCTCAATCGAGGAGTCAAGCCACCACCGCTGCTCGCTACCGACGCTTCATACCCTCCGTCAGATCACGCGGCTGCTGCGCGGCCTACAAGACAGTGAGCGGTGCGTGTCTGGTGAGCGATGGGCGAGCGCCTGAGCTCGCTTGCGAGTGAGCGCCGGGTTTCAGGGAGACGTACTCTTTGGCGCGGAGGCCCACGGCCTCAGCGATGCCCTGCTGGGCCAGGTCGAGCCACTGGTGCGACGCCTGCACCTCGAGCCCCACGTCTGTGGGGACGCAGCGGCACACCTGCACCACACGGACACACGGACGGCACGGTTAGACCAGGCACACCTGCACCACACAGACACACGGACGGCACGGTTAGCCCAGGCACACATCCGTGCCACACGGACATGTGGGCGGTGCAGTTAGCCCAGTGCACGTGCAACAAACTCCGAGGGGGAATGCGTGCGGCTTTGGGTGGGCGGATTGCACGGCTTGTGGATTAACCGCATTAGGATAAATGGAAACATGGTACTTTCCACGCGAACTCGCGACTGTTGTGTGTGGACGGTTTCCAATGTTCGTCCAAAAGTTTCATTGACCATTAAGGCATCGGTGCTTAACTCCGGCTTGTTTACAGCCCATAACGGGCAGAGGGGGGGGGGGGTAGCTTCATCCATAGGACAACCACTGATGACTTCTCCACAATGCTGTACCTATTTTATCGGCCACGGCGGGCATGATGAACTTGGTGACCCTCTGTTATTAGCCACTCCTCAGTCGCGACTTAGTGACGGATCACTTTGAGCGGCAACGAAAGCAGCAACGATACTATTCTACGTTTTCGCTTCCATTCTACGCGGACAAAAACAGTGGACACATTTTTTTAAGCGAATGCGCCTGTGGGCAATTCTCAATGTTAGCCTCTGCTGCCGCCTGATGAGGCTGGTGGTAATTACCGGCGAAACGTCACGGCACTAGAATTGTGAATGTCGTTTACTCTCCAACACGCCGGTGTGCTGAACAAGTAATTAATTTGCATGTTTTGTCTGTGTGACAAACCTTACTAATTGGCTGCATAGGGTGGTTGCGGGTTTAACGGCTGTTGCCCCGACACTCACTGCCCCCCTAGCAAGGACGCGAGCCACAAGTCACCACTGCCGAACTGCGTCCCACCGTCTGTTCTGGGATTTTCCCCCTTGGTCGCTGGACTCGTGGAAACAGCTCCGATGCCTTTCTGAGTAGCCGCCCCCCCCCCACCCTGGCCTCCGTCCTGCAAACCTGTTCTACTCAACGTAACATTTCTCTAACTGTTCAATAACGGTTGTGAGTTCCAACAGCTGTAAGCTGTAATAATTCACCTTAAATAAAAATGCGTTTGGAGAAAATGTGTTTTTTTTTGTTGCCTGCGTTATTGCTGTGCAAAATTATTATTATTTTCCTTCGCCTGTCCTTTTGGTGTTTCGCGAGTTTCCTTGACGGTGCGAGGGAAATCGGCCCGAGTCTGTGCACGTTAGACCGCCACTCCCACATCTGGCAGCGATTTACGATTCGGACTGCACACAAGCAGGCCGGCAAAAAAAGAGACTCACCGGGAAATCACCGGTGCCAGGATTTATTTGCCGACTAGCAGCGCGTCCCATGCCGAGCCATCGCTCCAGCAACACGGACATTTTTTATTTTTCACTCCATCCCAAGGGAGAGGACTTAACTTCAAGTGCAGACCTACCTCACGGACAAATCCACCTGGGTGGTGATACAACTCGGCCCGTCGGCCTTTCCACCATCGATAGAATGACAACTCGTTGTTAGCCTTGGCCAGGAATAGAACTGAGGTCGTTGGGCTCATAGTGCATTGTGCTGACTACAGTACTACCGCTCCATTGCCCCCACCCCCCCACCCATCTCGTTATGCTCCTTCACCAAAACGCTTACGGCTGAATGTGAAGAATATATGAAGACATCTGTGGGTGCAGATATGAAAAGTTTGGTGAGAATAAGCCTCGCTGTGTCAATAGGGTAGGAGAGTCAGGTGTATACATCGACGAACAGAGCTCATGCCACCCCGTTCTGCAGCACTGAAGCAGTTCGGGAGTACGATTTCAGGGCAGACCCTGGGAGGTCAGATGTCCGCGAGAGGAAGTCTGTGCGGGTCAGACGTCGACTGCTCAGCATACGCTGGGAGCGAGCAGAAGGAAGGGAACAACGTCAAGGTGTGGTGGCGTCAAACCGAACTAGGCCGTGACAGCCTCTTGATGTTGCGTCTCAAAATCGGCTCCCGTGGATCGGCCCAACTGCGCGTCCGATGCGCCGCAGTCGCTGTCCGGAAGAAGTGGGGTGATGCACTGAGCACGTCAGCTCGTAAGCCAGGGACGACGGGCGGTGGTCAATAGTAAACGTCCCAGTGGCAACCAAAGGGGAGGGAACGTGGCCCATGAGTCTGTCCGTCCGTCCATCGCAGAGATACCGGGCGTCTGTGAGAAAAAGAGAGCTTTCGTGGCCCATTGGATTCCTCCAGTCGTAAATAAAGATTTGGATTCTGAAAAAAAGATTCGGATTCTGAAATAAAGATTCGGATTCCAATTCTGAGATGGAGCGACGAAACTCTTGTCGCACGCTTAGGAGCTAGATAAGTTCTAGATTAGAAGTTTTCGTGACTGCAAGGATCCATACTCTTTGGTTTTATCGGTAAAGTCACGTGGGTGAAAAATATAAATAAATAAGAAATGTGTTGCTCCCGAAACGTCGTAATTTAGATTAGTTGTTTTCATTTTTGAGCTAGATAAGATTTGTCACATTGCAGGGCCGTGCGATGGCAACGACTTGAAAAATGCCTTCAACCAGCAGTGAAGAGATAATGGCTGCTGATGATGATCACGATGGTTACAGGTTGCTCAGTGGTTCAGGGCTCAAGTGACATCCTAACAGGTTTTAGGCCTAGCTGCAGTCGAGGCCTTCATCCAGCAGTATATTGATCATGGCTGAGGATGACGATGACGACGCATCACCATGACGACGCATCACCACGACGACGCATCACCACGACGACGCATCACCACGACGACGCATCACCACGACGACGCATCACCACGACGACACATCACCACGACGACGCATCACCACGACGACGCATCACCACGACGACGCATCACCACGACGACGCATCACCACGACGACGCATCACCACGCTCGCCTGCGTCTCCATGTAGAAGTGGTACTGGTCGCCGGCGCGGATGTCCCCCTCGATCACTCGGGCCGACTTGGCGAGCGCCGCCTCGGCGTCGCCCACCACCAGATCGTCAGCAGGGCTCGGCCACAGCGAGCCGGCGGCGATGGCGTCGTCCACGGTGAGCACCGGAGCGCGCTGCTCCGTGTACGTCGCCGACACGGCCTTCGCCATCGCCTCGGCCGCCCCGCGGGACTCTGAGCGGACGAAACGACGACACGCGCGATTAACGCTCGCCCGCGGAGAGCTGTCGACGAGCGGGCAGCGGCCGTCTTCAGCCGAGAGTTGGCCAGCGAAATGAACAAAAATGTAATCGCGCCATTATGAGTACGTGTGTGTATGGTGAACTTCTTTCGCGCCGTACGCAGCCAACGGCGCTAATCGGAGGTGCGGGGAAGGGCAACAAACAATTTGTTGGCAAGTTGAACAATGAAATGAACAAAAATGTATTCACGTCATTATGAGTACGTGTGTGTATGGTGAACTTCTTTCGCGCCGTACATAACCAACGGCGCTAATCGGAGGTGCGGGGAAGGGCAACACAAATTTTGTTGGAGAGTTGAACAATGAAATTAACAAAAATGTATTCACATCATTATGAGTACGTGTGTGTATGGTGAACTTCTTTCGTGCTGTACGCAGCCAACGGCGCTAATTGGAGGTGCGGGGAAGGGCAGCAAACATTTTGTTGGAGAGTTGAACAATGAAATTAACAAAAATGTATTCACGTCATTATGAGTACGTGTGTGTATGGTGAACTTCTTTCGCACCATACGTAGCCAACCACGCAAATTGGAGGTGCGGGAGTAGCGGCGTTTGAAGCCGTTGTTGTTGGGATCTAGCAGATTGGCTAATTTAATTCACATCTGGCCGCTAAGTCAAGTCAGTTTTGCTTACACACGCGGTGCCTTTCCGTACTGGCGCAAATCTGCCACTCAAAGCGCCATCTCATTAATACTCAAACATAAAAATAGAACATTCTATGCAATGAGAAACAAATATATAGACCATCTGATATAAATATGCTGTCAGCGGCACTGCCACTAAAGTGGGATTGGCGAGGGGTAGAAATGTGGAAGATTATTTATTTTCAACCTCGCCCTATGCAATGTTGGATATGGAGATTTTGAAGAACAGTATTCTGAATTCAAAAATGGCATCATATTTAGGATAACTCAATTTCCGGCGTACTTTTTGGAATAGCGTTATATCAAAGCCAATATATATCGTGGATGAACCTTGCTACCTACTTACTGATTCGTCATATAATTGCTTGAGGATATGAAGTTAAATATTTGAAGAGTCCGTACCGGCCACACACAGCGCGATAGACTGGCCCGTGTAGAGCACTTGGCTGGAGCAAAAGATCTCTTCCTGGAGGAACTGTGAAGGCATTGTGGAATTACGACCTCCTGGCGGGATGTCAGCGGCCGTTATCACCTGGATGGAGCACACATTGCAAAGCGATCAAACAGCGTCGGGCGTGAAGACAACATTTACTACGGACACGCACGTTCTTAATGTATGCTGCCGTAGTGTGACGGTCAGCACAATGGACTTGCGATACGAAGGTCGCCGGTTCGATCTCACCACAGGGAGAACCTGCAAACTCCAAATACACACGCGTCAGGGTCGGGATGGAACCCACGACCTCCCGTACACCAGGCGAGGCGGTTAACGTCTCGCCGCCGTGCCAAGATGCTCACTGTGCTGGAGTGGTGGCTGCAGTGGTTAGCACCAGTGAACCTGATGACCCGAGATCCATACCCGGCCACGGCAAACACCGGTGGCAAGCGATATCTAAAACCGGTCCTGGGTCCCACCTTCACGAACCCACGCTGAACGGAGCGGTGAAGTAGAGTAGAAACAACCCCCCATGACCAACGTGGCATAGGGGGAGGCCTTCATCCCACAGGAGATTGAAAAGGGCTGCAAATTACAATAAATAAGAGACAGCTGCTGTCATTGTAATACTCTTCTCACCATGCTGTACTCGGAGCACAAAAAGTAATCTGCTTTCTTTATGTAATAAAACGTCAAGATGCTGGCTATTGTGAGTTTCTTTTTTATTCTCTAGGATTTAAAAGATATTCTGACCTTGGTTTGGGTGTGCTATGTAATTTTTTTGCGAGGGGCAATAGAAAAGTATGTTTTGCTGTTGCTTTGTAGATGGTTGTGAGATGCAGTTGTGCATGAACGACGCAATATAAAATAGAATCATGATTATTAATAGGAGCATAGATCGAAAAGTTCGAGCAATTTTAAATAATCAACTGTGTCAGTCTTCTGCATTCGCTAACTTTAGTCCGCCGTTTCGATTCAACTCAACATTTAAATGTCGCGCTGGAAAAATCCGCGTAGCCAGCTACCCAGCCAGCTCTGGTGGTAATGGTCCGCAGGCACTAATAATCGAGTTATCGTTGGCACGGGAAAGGAGTCCAGCCAGCCAGCGAGGAAACTGGAGGCAAAGATTGTGTTTTAATAGCAGTATGATTATGACGCATTCTTGATGTCACTGGTGCACGTCCGCTGGGTGGGCGTGCGTCTCGCTTTGTAAAATGATATATTACCTGGATAATCCCTCGAGATTGAACATCTCATTTGCAAGGGTGTCTAGGGTGTCATATGACACGTGCGTGGCACAGGTGTGACGATTTGTAGCTATGCCACAGGAGGGCAGCACTGTGGTTAAAGCCCCGATATGGAAATGAAGGAGATCCTAGGTTCGAATTAGGTTTTGAGTCACCAATGATTACATCTTACTGGACATCTTTGAAAAGGGGCCTTATAGATCATCGGATTCCTCCAGTACAAATACACATTCTGGTCCTACTCTGAAATCGGCTTCTCGCCAATGACTGCGCCAAAAGAAAATCGTATAAATACTGTGATGGCATTTTCCAGCTCTCAGAACGAAACACTGTGGTACTGGGTTGGTGGGTGCCACCGCGCGATGATATAAGAGCATGAAATAAGAGGTCCACTGAAGAGACATCGAAAGTCATTCTGTGGCATCAGCTGCTTTCCAAAAGCTAGGCGATGCACTGCTCCACCGCAAGAGTTTCTGAACGGGGACGTCTTTAGCTCACGACATGGCTACAATTGCACATTTGATATATAAGCAAAAAAAAAATGCAATTACATTCTGGCACATTTATTCTAGGGGGTGAGGGGGGGGGTTAAATATTTTTTCTCGAAGCTATCACGCTTCAATAGACGTAAAAAAAGGGTTAGAGACACGAAGGCGCACATGTGGTAAGAGCAGCGGGAGACATTTCTTGAAATTACCTTCACTCAAAAAACACGGCAGAAAAAAACAACTCGTACGGGCGACCCCGTTGTATCATGCTGCGCACATTTACCAACTGACGGACGCGCAGACATCTTAGCACCCCACCAACCCCCGTTTGCCGAGCCCGGTGATTTTTTGGAAAAAAAACGGGTTGGCCAGGAGTTGCGGAAGGACCAGCCTTAAATAAACAAGGGCCTTCCAAGTATTAGAAGAGGTTCATAATGCTGCGTCTTACACCGCTGTGCCTTCTAGTAACGGCGATCGTCTACGGCTCTCCGTCAATCCACCGCTGGGTTCAGGCCTGTCTGTCAAGGCGGATGTTTGACCGGCACCACACGCCACGTGTCAACCGCGGTTGGGTATGAAGGACCACCCCCGATTTGCGTCGTTGGCTACGCACAGGCGCGAAAGAATTTCAACGTGCTTGCGCTCGTACAAACACGGTGCCCAGGAATGGTTTGAGTGATCGCAGTCGATAACAGGCGCTCTGGTGACCCAGGGTCACCCTTATAAATGTAACTACCCCTCCGAGTCTCTTAAGTTCTCACCTATTTAGGCAAATTGAAAATCGAACGTGAGAGATGGAATGGGGAAATGGTCGCGAGCATGGACTTGGATTCAACAGTGTGAGATACCAGGACAAGGGGAGTTCCAGACAGTAAGGACAGCAGAGGAGAATGAGCGATCAGCCTCTCAGCTGAGGTCAACCGGAGATTTCGACAGAAATGCCTTGGTCGTTAGAACACAGGTCACCAGAAAGGGAGCAGAGGGATAGGGCGAGGGAAGAGGTAGGTAAGGGGTGAGTCCATTGAGGATGCCAACTCATGGCCTAGTGTACGTGAATTTAGATTGGTGTTTCATTCTTCACCTGAGGACGGCTGCTTGCGTTGTGGCCGAAACGTCGTGAGAATAATTTTATTATGTTTTATTTTAATTATTTTATTACTTCCCTTCTACGTGACTTTACCGAAAGAACCAAGAAGATAGTGTATGTGAGTTTAGAAATCCTTTGCTTCTATTCGTTGGCATTGTTGTTGCCGTGGATTTTTTCTCGGGGCCCTCCTGTTTTTCCATCGGCAATTTAGAAACGTGCGTTTAGATTATTGAGATTCATTTGGCTGCTATAAATGTCCACGTGATGAGCCACTTCGTTCAGCTATCATTTGTGGACCAGGTCGCTTATGAAAAAGAAGCTAATCGCTCAGTAGGCTTTACATGGTAAAATAAAGATATTTTTTTCCGTGATTTTCTTACCTTTCCTCCTATATTTTGAACTGCTGTCGTGATTTTGCATTGTTTCTTTCTCTAACTTTCTGACCTGCCCCTACTGGACAGTATCAATACATATTCAGATTTTTGGTTCTATTCCCTTTCATTACATGTAAGACATTATTACATTATTATTATTGCATTTTTGTCGGGTTTTTTTTTGAAACATGAAAAAAGTATATTAAGACTACAAATACTGTTTCCGTGGTGGTCTAAAAAATACAGCTGCAAAAAGTATCTCTAACAAGGAACAGATATGTACAGTGTTTAACTTTTTGAACATTGTTTTATTTTACTTAATTCCACATAATAAAGGGGTCCGTTGGCTCTAGGAGATGCACGTGTGCATTGGAGGCGATCCAAAAGGTAATCTGAGTAATCGGTTACACCATTCACCCGCGGTAGTTTTGACAGATTACATTGTGGATTACCTCTGCTCCCAAGCAATCGTTTATCAAATATATTGTTTTAATTTTACACGTTAAATCAGTTCGGGGAAGCTCATGAGAATAATGCCCCTGTGTTGCTACTTGGCCAACAAAATGAGATCTTGCATTGAAGCCCCGTGCTGTAATCTGCACACACAAAGGGGGGTCTGCGTTCGCACAGGAAGATTATACGCTCCCCTCATCGTCACGTAGAAGGGAAGAACCAAGAATATCACAAAACTACTTCCGATATCCCGAAACGTGACCACTTTCAGCTACGCATTGGAGGGGCGCGTTTTCCAACGCCATGTCACGGGAAGTTGTTCGTCGCATGGCAGTCAAATTGAGCTGAAAAGTATCCGGATAAAGTGAAAGCCAAAACGTTAACATGAAAATAAAATAACACTTTAACCAAATGTCACATGTTTGCGCATGAGGCTGGAGTAATCCTGACGGCCTATAAATCTTTTTTTCACAGATGTCCAGTGAGTGTCCAGGGGAAACCCGCACATGTGAGGAGATAATTCTCCAGTGAAACCAAGATTGAGCATTTTGAGAGCTGGAATATAAGCCGCCCATTAAGTACAACGCCAAATGTTGATATAAAAGTTGTGTAGTCAATGGTGACCAGGCTGAGATCATCCAGCCACTTCAAGCTGCTATTTACATGGGATTCAAGAGATGTGTGTACAGCAGCAGTTTCTAGGAAGAGTGACATTACGGTCTTAGTCAAGATAAACAAACCCCTTGAAGGTGCATCATATATTTTCCTTCAAATCTATTCCTCACTCGAGCAGCAATCCGATGTAATCTCATGGTATTCTACCAATTACAAGATGCACTTTTCCCCCAGTACTAAAGGAATAATTGGCGGTCCACCTTGTAATTCGGTAGCTGTGCGTGTGTGTGGAGCGGTAGTGTTGTGGTTAGCGCGCCGCGCTACGAACCCGGCGACCCGAGTTCGATTCCCGCTCGTGGCCAACACCGGTGACGATTATCTGAACCTGACCTGGGCCTCCTCCCCTAGGTCGACTGGGCCTCAATTGAGTACCTGGTGCAGTGTGTAAACATCGCCACAAGGGAGATAAAAAGGCGGCCGGGCGTGGTGCTGGCCACCTACTCCCCCCCCCGTGTGCAATTCCGGGCCTTCATAGGTGTTACTCACTAACAGCACTTGCCCCAACAGTGTGTTAAGGCTATAGGGGGGGACCTTTGTTTTTGATCAGATTCGTGTGACTCTATTGACTCCGGGAACGTGTTTGGGGTGCGTCTTACTTCCTAGAGCATCTTATAATCCGGAGAATATGGTGTGGGTGTAGATATAAAATCTATTCAGGGCCCCCTTGTGCATCCACTCCTGCATAAAGCGCACACCAGCTATGAGAATTGCTTGATCAATCTTCACTATACTGGTCAGGGCAGGTTGGTGAAGAGGGAGGGTGGGCAGGGAGGGCTCAGAACTGATTCAGATATCAACCGCTGTTAGGTCGTGGTCAGGAATCAAGCTCAGGTCGCCGATGTTTACAGCGCAGTAGGCTAACCACTCCACCTTTGCTCGCCTCGCAGGGATCCAATTCCTAATTCATTTGCCTGTTCCTTCAATTTGTCAGTGTCTATAGTGCAGTGGGGGGGGGGGGGGGGGTGTGGAAAGCGTGTCTTGAGATCTGGAGAATACGGTAAATACGAGACACATGGGCACCACCCGGGGAACACGGGCCCAGCTGCAAATGCAGCTCGAGTGCTGCGGAGAGGAGGCATCGAGTCACGGGGCCGCCGCACACGTCCGCCCATTTACCCTTACGGCCTCGGGGATGGCGAGAGGCGGCTGCGGAGTCGATGGAGACGAGCTTGGCGCTGGGCACGGAGCTCTGCGCGAAACACCGCGTACAGCTCCCCGGCCATCGCGGGGATGTCGTTCACGAACTCCGCCTCTCCGCTCGCCTGCGCAGGAGAGAGACGGGACACGGGAGTCACACGACGCGCTGTCCACCTGGCGTATATCCGCGCCGGTGGCGAGATGTGAACTACCTCGCCTGGTATAGAGGAGGTCTTGGGTTCGATCCCGACCCCGACGCCTGCTGTATATTTGTAGTTTGCATGTTCTCCTGTGGTCGCGTAGATTTTTCTCCGGTTTTTCCTCCACATTTAGAAACACGCGTTTCGAGTATTTGTCTGCTATAAAGTTCCACGTGATAAGCCACTGCGTTGAGCAATAATTTGTGATAGCCATGCCGCGTGTGAAAAACAGCTGTATAGCTCAGTGGGACAAAAAAATTGTTTAAAATAGAAGTAGTGTCTTTTCCACTGGCTATTTGCCGAGCTGAACCGAACCAAACCGTGAAGCTCTGGCCTCACAAGACGACTGAATCTGGCTCGAGGCCAAGATCGGTCTAAGAGCAAATTGAATTCGACATACATTGGAACTCGACAATTGTTCACTGCGTGTGACGGCAAATGGCACGGCTCAGGTTCTGCAGTTGAGCTCCTCCTGAACCACGCAGGGGTGATGACGTACATGTACGTCATCATGATCGGAAGAACATTTAAAATAAAGTAACTTCATCGGTACCGAGGCTCCCACAAGGTCAAGTTCATTAATAAGGTATAGGCCCTGTGAGCCATTCGGCTCTTGAATCGGGTGCAACCGCAACAAACAAAAAACATCTTCAAGTGAATATGTGACTAAGTGCAAACAGAAAATCCAAGAAAAGACAGCAAAATATTGCAGAAAAACACCGTACAAGGTCTTGCGGGAGGGCGTGTGGCACAGTGTGGTGCCGGCTATCACAGAATGCAGTCGTGTGGCTACAGTTCTCTGCGGTGAGTAACAACGTATTTTAAAACAACGGCGCTACACCTCTCTAATAAACATTAACGCTGAGTCGTTTGCGCGTTCCGAGATTCAGCGGTCAACGGGATACCCACCATGCAACTTGCAGACGCCTCGGACACGGGAAAGGGTTAAGGCGTCTCTTGCACGTGCAAGGAAACGTGAGCACCCGGCGGCAAAAGCCCACGCTTGCTAGGGGATATAACTAAGGTCTACAGAGACCGTGTTCGCGAACTCACTTGCTGTGCTGCCATCACGTGGCCACCTTGCAGCCCAGATTATATTTTTGGGAGCTTTACAAACCTCTTGAGTGATCCATCAACCCTCGACTATGAGGAGCACTGGTGTGCGCCACCATGCATGCACGTTGAACTTCTTTCGCACCGTACGTAGGTGCGGGGGGAGGACAACGAACTGAACACGCATGGTAATACCGCGGTACACGTCGTCCGATGCGCTCCTGAAAGTTGCGACGACCAATATCGAAGAGGCGTAAATCAAAGCGATTTTGTCCCAATCACCAAAACACGGTACGTGAAAAAACGCCGCACTCAACCGCGCGGTTGAGTGCGGCGCAAAGTCGTTCCGTGCGCAGGGTAGGTGGTTGAGGCAAAGGCGGAGAGGCGACGGATGACGAGAAAGGAACGGACGATGATGCTGCCAGCGACGTGAGAGTGTGTGTGGGAGGGGGTGTTGAGGACACGCAGATCACTGTTAGCGGGTCTTAATAATAAAGCGACTTAACGTATTCGCGAAACGACGTAAAGAGGGGGTAGACGTAGATCGAGGTATGAGTATTCTTGGGTTTTTTCGGTAAAGTCACGTAGGTAAAAAATTTAAATTAAATTAAAATCACGACGTTTCGGAGGCAACACAAGCCTCCGTCTTCAGGTGGAACCGTCACAGCACGATAGCTGTATCATGAGTGTAAACCGCAGTGTAAACCGCAGCCGGTACACGCGCATTTGTCCAGTCACGCAGAGCACACTACGCGAGTTATTATTTTTCACTGCTGCACATGTGGCGCTACAATACAGTCACACGTCAAATTCACGCAAATATTAATAAAAAAAAGACTCCTTTTGTGGGCCCTCACAGAATCTTTACATGGAACCGCAGTTATATATATTAAATTATTTGCTTTTATTCCATCCTCGCCCACAGGCTAGCCTTTAAACTAAATAAAGACCGCAATTTTCTCTCCAGTTTGTATGCGTGTGTGTCTGTGTTCAGGAAAACTTCAGGAGCTCGGAGTGAATGAATAGGAGCGTGGGCCCGTGGATTCTGCAGCAAATGAACCTCCTCCCCCCCTCCCAGCCCCGCCACACTCACTCACTCGCTCTCCGCAAGCCAAGCCTATAATGGAAACTAGGTCAGCGATGCTGCTGGCTTGGCACGAACATTTACGGGCGCGCCGCTGGCGGACGGTCGTTCCCCCAGCCAAAGGGGAAGATCGGAGGGGGGGTGGCGGGAGTGGCGGCGGTAGTAGCCACGGCGAAGAAAAAAAAACCTCTCCTTGTCTACGATGGGTGCGCACTCTTACCCCCCCCCCCCCACCACATTGAGGAGTGCATTTCCCCTTTCACTTTTATGAAGAGGCAAGGCGGTGCCGCTCGCGGCTCCGAACCGACGGTCTCACGAATTTCCCCCCCCCACGAAACCCATTAGAAGACGACGTTGTCCACCGGGACAGTGTTGCTTCGTGGCCAATGACGAGTGGACATTTATCAAAGCCTCGGAACACACAGACAAAAAAAAGTTTTTTGTTGATTTTCTTTTTTAAAGGTGGCCGCCAATTCTTAAGAGCTTGGGCGCTGGCAATGGCAACGGTACGATCCTGGAGCAACGCAGACGACTGACAACCACAGGAATGAGAATCCCCGTTTAGATTGCAGGAGGAATCCGACGAGCTGTGAAGCTCTTTTATAAATCCTTTATATTAAGTTCACTTGCTTGCTTGCTTGCGCGCTTACGACCGTGCAAATATTTCGGTCGTTTTTTAACCCACTTCCCGTGATCCAATCGAGCTGACATTTTGCACACAGGCTCGTTGTGCGTGACAATTTATTTTCGTGAAAAAAAATTCCCCAAATTTTCCACTTTTTAGGAAATTATTTTTTTCATATTTAATTTAAAATACCAATGTCATCAAAATGAAACTCTTACTCAAGAAAAACAGAAATGAATAATAAAATAAAACCGATGCCACGCATATAAAGGATTTATAGTGAAAAACTTTGTTTTCACGGGTTAATTTTTAAAGTTGTCCAGTAGGGTCGGGTCAGCACGTTACAACTACGGATTGCTGCCACATCTTCATGTTGGTCTCTGGCATGCGTGGATGTATGTACGTGTATATCCGTGTATGATATCTTAGACGTGGTTTAGTGGTAATGTATTGAAGGTGGAGGGGTTACTAGCCCCTCGCACCCGTCCAGAGCCCCCCATTTAGCTGTTGTGGTGGCTACAAATGCCCCGAGGGGAAAGGCCAATCGGAATTGGCTCTCCCCCCACGGCACTGTCCACGACAACGTTGCCCGTCCGGCACCACGAGGAGGTAGGGGGTTGTTTTGCCATGACAGTTGGAGGCAGTCGCTCACAACAACGAGCGGAGCACCGGGTGGCTAAAGCACAGCAAGTTGGCACAGTCGGGGGCACAGGTGGTGCATCAGCCACTCATCTCAGTCAGCACCTGGGTCTGCCCCGTGGCCTCCTGCCACCGGGCGTTCAACACTTCACGTGGCCTCAAGGTGCACATAGCCTGGCACAAGCGTCGTGGTGACGTCACCGCCACTTAGTGGCGAATGGCGGTTGTTGTTGTTGTTATCCGTGTATGGATTTTTTGTACGGTTTGCTGCTGCAACTTTTTGGTTGACCCTGCCCGTCCTAGATACGGACAAATGTGTTCTCAGTCGAGCCAGAATGACCATTTAAATGTTAGGAGATATGGAACGCATAGAATACTATTTATTTATTTACACAGGAAATCCTTTCTGGGTCTCAAGGGTCTTTTTCAAGAGTCCCGAGTTGAGCCGTCGGGCCGATTCCGCTAATAAGCGCTTGTAATGTCGGGAGAAACTGGAGCATCCAAATGAAGCCCAATGGCGCTATACGAGGTCCACACCAATAGATTCAAGAATCCAATTGCTGTAGCCGCCATTTACTTTTCCCGGACACCGCGCGGTGCAGCAGGGCCGGGAAGTTTCACGGAACCGCACGATCCACCGAAACCTCGCCTCCAACGCGCCGGGATCACAGCCACGAGCGAAGGCACAACGCTCGAGCCGTGAGGGTGCGTGGAGTCAACCAACTTGCGACACCGTGTTACAGCAAAGTTCTCCCGAGGCCCCTGACGTCGCAGATGTAAGTCGCGTTCGGCGAACTGCTGCGGGATGAAGACCCCGCAATGCACATTCAGCCGGCTGGCAGACCCATCAGCATGGCTTCCTCACGGTCAAAAGAGCTGTGGCAGGATTTTGAATCCTCGAAACGCCACTTCGCTCCGCATGCACGCACGCACGCGCACCCTCACACGGCAAACTACAGAACCCTGAGTCAGGGCCTCCTGCCTGAGCATGGGATGGTCGCTCATCTCCACCGACGGCCCTGAGCCAGTGGCAGCCATTCCACATTACCGTGGTGGAGTCCAGTCTCTCCATGCACCGATTCCCGCTGACCTTTATTGACCCGAGGATTGGAGGAGGGGGGGGGGAAATTGGCAAGTTGACTGCCCGACCAAGATATGAATAAACTCAATTTCAAACGAAGCGCTCCGACCACAGCGCCACGCACCGAGTGCCACGCACCGAGCACTCGCAATGCAATGAGAGACACGTGCAGAGGGCGGAGAGGTGGCGCAGTGGTTAGCACACAACACTTGCGGATTCGACGAACAGAGTTCAATTACCGGCCGCGGTTAACTTCGGTGTCGACTGGTATCTGAACCACGCCTTTCCGCCCCCCCCACCTTCCCCCCTACACCACTCCACGCTCACTAGCGCGGTGACGTATGGACAAACAACCCCCATGACAGACACAGTGGGGGGGGGGAGGCCTTGCATTGACAAAGGGTGTGTCAATTACATTACGATTATCAATTTGCATACACAGA